TGTCTTTTGTAAATTAGCACGGATGAGAACAGAGATAATAGAACAAACAATTAAATTTCGAAATCTGAAAGGAATTGATGCAGCATTTCTTCTTGAACTGTTCAGTCTAACGCCCTTTGATAACATCTTCTTATTTAACGACATCAATGAAAAAGTTTCACACTTCAATCAACTGTTACATACCTTATTCGATATAGTTGCTCCTTTAAAAACTCTGAATTTGAGGAAGCGTAAACCACCTTGGCTCACAGATAACGTAAAACTGATTATGAACTTGCGGAACAAGGCATTGCGGAAATTCAAAAAAAGCAAAAGTGAACATGATATGAACTATTATCGCACCCTTCGTAATCAAACCAATATCATGATAAGAAATGAAAAAAAAGGTTATTTGACTTATTGCATCAATAATAACAGTGGTAAGGATTTATGGAAAAAACTGAAGGATTTGAATATATATAAAAAAAACATGGCTGTCTTACCTGATACATTGAATGATCCGGAAAAAGTGAATGAACAATTTTTAAAACATACTGGTATAAGTACTATGCCTGAACCAGAACTTATCCATTTCTATGAAGATAATATTCTGAAAAACTTTGATGTTCCTTTCAATTTCAAAACAATCACTGAAAATGAAGTTTACAAGTATTTACTTGAAATAAAATCTAAAGCTACTGGATCAGATGACATAGGTATTGATCTGCTTTTGTTATGTTGTCCAAGTATACTACTATACTTGACACATATAATTAATACTTGTTTAGTCAATGCTGTAGTTCCTGATGAATGGAAAATTTCTAAGGTTATTCCGTTACCAAAAAAATCAGACGCATCAACATTTGATGATTTACGGCCAATAAGTATTTTGAATGTGTTATCAAAATTATTTGAAAAAATTGTTAATTCTCAAATTAAGGAACATTTGGATTATTTCAGTATCATTCCAATTCAACAATCAGGATTTCGTACGGGTTATAGTACTATTACTACATTACTTGCGGTAACTGATGATATTTTTCGGGAAGCAGATAAAGGAAAAGCAACGGCTTTGGTATTGATCGATTATTCAAAAGCATTTGATACGATCAACCATGAAATTCTTTTGTCAATTTTACATTTCATTGGATTTTCAGAAAGTGCATGTGAACTTATGAGAAATTACTTGTCGAACAGAAAACAATATGTTGAAACCGTAGTTGGACGCTCCATGATGTCTGATATAAAGAGAGGGGTTCCACAAGGCTCGATTCTTGGCCCCCTGTTATTTTGTATTTATGTATGCCATATCACTAACGATTTAAGAAACTGTAAAATATACCAATATGCAGACGATACTCAACTCCACTTCTCATTCGACCCGAAAGAAATTGACTCAGCTAATAGAATCATCAATAATGAGATCAACAAACTTGTAAAAAACTCACAAATACATGACCTCCAGATCAACTCATCTAAATCCTCGATAATGGTATTTGGCAAAGATCGTAATATTGTTGAAAGAAATTCAGCTATATACATTAACAATTGCCGTCTTTCCTGTTCTCAGTCCACAAAGAACCTGGGTGTTGAAATTGATACTGAATTGAGATTTCGGAAGCATGTGAATAAGTGTATGCAAAGAGCGTTTTTCAATCTTAAATTATTATATCCTCATAGACAACTTCTGAATACACAACAAAAAATCAAATTATGTGACTCACTTGTGCTTTCTCATTTCAATTATGCAGATATTTTATATGGCCCATGTATAACTGTAACTGAACAGAATCGAATTGAGCGTATGCAAAGATCGTGTTTGAGATTCATTTTTGGTGTTAGAAAGTTTCACCGCATATCTCACAAATTGAAAGAAGCAAAATGGCTGAACATGTCCAACAGACGGAAACTTCACTCAGTAACACTTTTTCAAAAGATCATACGTGATAAATGTCCTCCGTATCTCTACAATAAAATACAATTCAGGACTGATGTGCACTCTCTCAATTTGAGATATAAAGGCCTCATCTCACCTCCAAAACATAAAACAGCTTTCTTCCGCAGGTCTTACAGTTACAACATTTACGCGCTCTACAATGATGTCCCTAGCAATTTCAAACGTTTCAGTAAAAGTAATTTTAAATATAAATATAAACAACACCTCCTTGAACAATCTTGAACAATTTTGATGCAAAATTTGATCAATCTATTTTTATATATTTTGTATACCTTACAAGCCCTATCATCTATATGTGTTTCTATCATATAATAGGGTTGTGATTTATTATTACCTTAGTTTGTATATTAATCTAAAATCATGAATTGCACTTTTTTTTTTTTTTTTTTTCTCGAGGCAACTACTTAGACCAGCAAGCTTTCGAGCAATGTTGTTAGTGGTCTCTTTTGTGGTTCATAACATTATTGTATTTTCATGTCCTTTATATATTTATATTTTCTTTTATAATCTGAACTGCAAATAAACTATTATTATTATTATTATTATTGTTATTATATTCGTTTTGAGACCAAGCAAAATGCGTCTGATACTGCATTTCGGGCATTCGACTCTCAACGGGCGGCACTTTTCCTTGGGAATTTAAAGTATAGAGATTGCTGCAACCATCTCTGCAAAAATATTTGCTTTCTCCTGCGGTGTTGTTGCTAAAGTGCCGTCAGTTTTGGAGAGTGGTGAAAATGAACTATTAGTGAAATTCTTCCTGACTGCTTTAGCAAGAGACCAAAACGAACGTGCATTGGGACAATTTATGCATCTATTGTTTGACTGCAGCTATTCCTGGCGTTCAACGTATTCTGCTCTAGTCGAGAGGTTAGGGATTTTGCGCCAGCGATGGTAGGCTGGTAGTCCAATCAATAGGGGGTTATGTCTTGAAAAAGGTGGAGTAGGTTGGTATATGTTGTTATTCATTATATTTTTTTGTTTCCCTCTATAAACATATGTTTCTTGGGATCAATAAATGTTACTAAATATATCAAATCGGGGGCCCACGTATTCAACGTATTGATTGACGTATTCAATGGTCTATCAGAGCGTATGCGGAGATTATGATACTGGATATTGATTCAAAATATCGATTATGTGGTATCAATCTGTTCGTACCAAAATATCCTTTCTAGATATGATGATGAGCCACCCATGTTCTATATGAAAAAAATGAGTTAACATATTGTAAATTTTTAATGAACCTGTGAAACAAATAACTCATTCATGACACTCTAGAGTCTAGAGTCTAGATTGACAATTGAAAAATGAAAATTTCAGGATGATAATTGTCGTAAATGGCAAATGGGGTGTCATTGTACTCACAATGTGATTCTCTATCGAAAATAGTGAGAATATACCGGGTGTCCCATTTAAAATAAGAAAATAAGAGCATTTCCGGTCAACCTGGAAGAGATAGAGAACGATTGAATACGTCAAATAATGCATAATTATGGGCTATACCAACACACCGAATTTCATTTGTTTATACAGGGTGTCCGGAAATTATGCGCAAAAAATCAAGGGGGTGATTCTGCATGAGGAAACATGACATTTTTTTCTATATATACATGGATCCAAAAATGCATAGTTTTCAGGATACATTGTGTTAAACTTTTTTGAATAAATGAGTTTTTTAGGAATATCTTAAATATCCTCCCAACGATTTTCTTGGAATTTGGGAGTGATATTCTTTGTCATGAGAGGCTGATGTAGCTGTGATTAGATTGGAATTGTGAAATCCAGTGGCGTCCCGGGGGCACCCTACCGAATATTATTGTCAATGAAATGTGCGCCTCTGATTTTCTTGAATTTTATGTCTTTATATCCTATTGATTAACGAAAAATACAACAATTTTGGTCTTTTGAATTGTTTTGATATTTTTGCTTCGTAGCCGTGGAAAAAAATAGATACCAATTTATTCTATACATTTCTTCAGAACATTGCTTCAAAAACGGGTGTGAAATTAAATGTGTGATCTATGTCCATAGACGTAGAATAAGAATGGAGATTCCTCTTCAAATATTCAATAATTCATGTTTTATCATGAAATAATTGAAGAAAATGAATCTTCATACTTATTCTACGTCTATGGACATTGATCATTAACTTATTTTCACCCCAGTTTTCTTTTCTGGCACAAATTTATGCAATAAATTGGTATTTATTTTTTTCCATGGAAATGAAACAAATTATCGAAACAATTCAAGATACCAGAATGTTGTATTTTTAGTTGGTCAATAGGTTATAAAGATACAGAATTCGAAAAAATCAGTGGCGCACATTTTATTGACAATAATATTCGGTAGGTTGCCCCCCGGGACGCCACTGGATTTCATAATTTCAAATATGACCATATCATCCCCTCATGACAAAAAATATCATTGCCGACTTTCAAGAAAATCGGTGGGAGGACATTCGAGTAATTCATAAAAAAACGTTTTTTTTCAAGTTTTAACACACTGTATGTTGAAAACTATGCATTTCCGGATCCACTTACATACAGGGTGTCCCGTAAAGACCACGTCATACCTAGGGAGAATGTAGATCAAAAGATAACCCACTTGCTATGACAAAATTCCCACTATAAAAGTCTTACAGCTGTCGAGATATTTTTTTTGTTGAAAATATTGAATTTTTGCCCCTTTCAATAGTTTTGTCTGTACGGTTGGTACAATTTTACACCTCTTTGGTTCATTTTTTCAATAAATATTGCTGAAGAATGATTTTTACGAATACATTAAAAATATTCTCCAAACATTCTGAAGTTGGGCTGTGAAAAATATTTTCATTGAAAACTTTGGTAGTGGATCTTTTCAACAAAAAAAAATCTCGAAAACGACTTTAATAATGGGAATTTTCTCATATGCAGGTGGGTTATCCTTTGATCTACATTCTCCCTAGGTTTGACGTGGTCTTTACGGGACACCCTGTATAAAAAAGTTATAGGGGTGAGCCACTTTTGAGGAACACCCGGTATAGCGTAAATTCGACTAGTGTGTACAACCCCATTGTTTTCAGGTTTCCCCTGGGCTTCCCCACATCACCACCATGATGTGCGGTTCCTGTTCGAACGAGAACGCTTTCAAGAACATATTCATGGCCTACAGAGCGAAAACTCGAGGAGGAGGAGACTTTACCGAAGAAGAAAAACAATCGTGCGTGATCAATCAACCGCCTGGGTCGCCGAAACTGTCCATTCTGTCGTTTATCGGAGGCTTCCACGGGCGTACCTTGGGTGCCCTATCCAGCACACATTCTAAGGTATTTCATGCACTAGCGGGCGGTAAAGTGCACTTTATCGCCCAGATTTGCGGGCGTAAAGTGGTACTTTACCGCCCGCAGGCCATTATCGCCCACGGGCCATAAAAGGCATTTTACCGCCCGCTGTTCTCATTTTCCTTTTATCCACACATTCATTTGTGGAATACCTATATTTGAACTCTCAGCTGATTCTATCGTTATGATTATGATACATGTTATTGTTCATCCGATTCCAACTTAGCTATAACTTCCTTCTTTGAATAGTTGCTTTGTGGCTGTCCAGTGGCGTAACTACTATACCGCCAAACCCCGCGGTTGCGGGGAGCCCGTTCCTCGGAGGGGGCCCTGGGGCCCTGGGTCCACCAACCAGAGCAAAGACAGCCAAATTGGTTGCCACAGAAATAATTTTTCCATTTCTGCTAATAGTGCAGGCATGTTTTTCCAGTGTAGGTCCAGGGTGATGTGTGAAATCAACGATACAAGCCAATTATTTTGAATGGAGAACTTGATTAAAACTAGTGGTGCTTCAAAAAGAAGAAGGAAACAAAAGTTAAAAGATGATGAGTGTAAAATTTCCAAGATTACTACTTTCTTTACGAATACTACTACTGTTTCGGATAATACACTTGAATATTATGATGAATGTCCATCAAGTAGTAGCAGTATGATGATTGAAAAAGGAATGGATGTGGACTCTGCAATTATTGTGGAAGAAAAACTATTATTCCAGATTTTTTGGGATTTTCTCTCCTCGTTTCCATAAAATAAAAATATGAATATTATTTCAATATACGTGTAGTAAGGACAAATCAGATGATATGCCCCAAAATATCACTGCGTTTTAAGAATTTTCCTATCAGAGAGCCTAAAAGAAAAATTCACTAGCTTCTCAGTGACGATTTGTATTGAATAAAGTTTTTGGAGAAGAGAAATAAAGGTATCTAGAGAAAATATCAAATTTTTACTCAGCAAATGAGGAGACTTCTGCTACTATTGCATTCGAAACTGTAGGTACAAATGGTGTGAATATAAAAAGTATTATATCTGAAATCCACGAGGAGCCCATAGCTGACTTAAATGCCAGAATTTCTGGAGATGGAACTGAGTCAGAAGATTCATTACTGGATGTATTAATCAAAGAATCATTTCCTTGTGATAAAGGCAATTTCAGTGGCCGAGAATTGAGCAACACGATAAAAATGTTTATTGTTCGTAATGGCCCGTCTCAACCAGATATACATTTTCCAAAAGAGGAGTTTCTCTAATTTCCATTATTCAGAGAAAAGTCATGCTGGGCAAATTATTCCAAGAAAATGGTTGTATTATTCACCCAAAGAAAATAAAGCGTATTGTGGAGCTTGTTGGTTATTCAATATAACTAATAGTTCATGGAAAGAAGCGGCTTCTGACTGGAAAGGTTTTTCTCGAGGGGGCCCTAAATGATTTTGGCGGGGGGGCTCAAAATATGAAGTTACGCCACTGTGGCTGTCTGAAGTTTTTAGCCAAAAGAAGACAATTTCAGTTTGTTTTTTTGGTGTATTGCTAGAAAGCAAACATCAGATTGATTGACAAAGTCAAATTCAGGTAGCTATATACTGAGTAAACATATTGTTACATCTCAATGAATGATATCTGTTAGTGAACAAAGAGTTTTACTCTTACGATAATTGCGATATTCGTACGGTAATTTTATTATGTAGATTATACACATAAACATTGCGTTTTTTTTTGAAGACTATGAATTCATGAGTAACATATGAATTGTAGTTTGTTAAAATCTAGCCATTACTTGTGACTCGGGAGATAAACCACTAGTGCATGAAATAAATGCGTTTATAGCCTTTGGCACTTTACGCCCTAGATACATAAATAACTATTATGCACGATCGGGCGTAAAGTGACGCTTTATCGCCCACATTCTTGGGGGTAAAGTAGCACTTTATTAGCGCCCGAGGGCAAGAAATAGTGTGTGATCAATCAACCGCCTGGGTCGCCGAAACTGTCCATTCTGTCGTTTATCGAAAGTTTTCACATCTGTACCTTTGGTGCGCTATCTAGCACACATTCTGAGGTATTTAATGCACGATCGGACGTAAAGTGGCACTTTATCGCCCGAGTTCTCGAAGGTAAAGTAGCACTTTAGCGCCCTAGGGCAAGAAAGGAGTACAGCGGGCGATAAAGTAGTCCGGCAGGCGGTTAAGTAATTTCACTGCTTTTTCAGTTATGGCTAGTAGACCAGTGGTCCATCAATGAAAAAGACAAATTTCCGTTTTTTTTATATGCCGGCAATTGTTTTTTACATCTGTAGGATAATTTTACTTGAAATGGTCACCAACATCCAACATTAGTTTAAAATTGGATTATTTCATTAGGCAATTCACAAAATTGATGTACCAGCCTTCGACTGGCCCATCGCCCATTTCCCCAAATACAAATACCCGTTAGCGGATAATTGCCGAGAAAATGTAGAGGAAGATCACAAATGCCTAGCGGAAGTGGAGGATCTGATGGAAAAATACAAGAAGAAAGATATTCCGGTAAGTTTCAGAACATATTTCGTCGAATGTTTTTATTCATTCAAACTTGAAAATAGTTATGTACCTTTACAAAAGCGCTATCTCATTTATACAGAGTGGTCCAGTTTTTTTTTATTTCGAGAAGTCAACGACCTAACCAATTGCAAAAGATTCTAGCATGCAACTCATATATGTATATTCAAACTAATTATGAAGGATTTGAAATAATTAAAAAGAATTTAAAAAGTATTCTGAGTATTTAAAGTATTCAAACGGTAATTAAGATGATGGAAATGTACTGAAGAGAATGAAAAATTAATAATTATATATTTAAAGAGTTGTTTGCCCCTCGAGAAAACTCAACACAAAATATGATTTTTATGGCGAGTTTTTCATATATTAAGTTAACAGTCATACCAGATGATGGCCATTATAATCAATAGTCAATCCAAATACGAGATGTCAAATGTCAACAGATTGCTTTTGAATGACATTACACACGCCATTATTTCAAATGATATTCTTCCTTCTTTTCACTAAATATGGATAAATCGCAAGAAAATCATATTCATAGTTGACTCATATACTAGAAAAGTATATGTCATTGAAGTACATTGTGATATATACAGTCTGTCCAAGATAAGGTTGAACAGCATGGGGATCTCGGAAACGGTAGGAGATACGAAGTCGTTTAAATGGGAAAAAAGTTGCGCATTCGGAGGCTCATATCAAGAGCCTTCGAACATTTTTAAAATTATTTCTAGTTTTTGAGTTATATCGAGAAAAGTGAATTTTTGGAATATCCATCTTATTTTTTTTCTCCGTTATTATTAGAGGTAAAGAAAAACTGAAAATACTTTTTCATAGCAACTTTTGATGACGTTTAACGTGGTGAAACCGATTTTGGTATGCGACGTTTCGTATCCGTAGAACCATCATCAACTTTTGTTTTTTAAATACGGTCCTGATAATGTTTTCACAGATTCTGAAAGGTTTTTTCATCCTGAATTCAACCATGTATTATACAAAGTGGTTTATTTGTGTTTCGACCTATCTTTAGCCATCATCAATGTTTTTTCGAAATTCCAAAGGAAAAATGCCATCAGTTCCACTTATTTTGAAGGAAAATTAGTCAACACAAGTTGATGATGGTTCTACGAATACGAAACGTCGCATAAAAAAATCGGTATCACCACGTTAAACGTCATCAGAAGTCGTTATGAAAAAGTATTTTCAGTTTTTCTGTATCTCTAATAATAACGGAGAAAAAAAATGAAATAGATATTCCCAAAATTCACTTTTTTCGATATAACTCAAAAACTAAAAATAATTTTAAAAATTTTCGAAGGCTCTTGATATGAGCCTCCGAATGCGCAACTTTTTCCCCATTTAACCGACTACGTATCTCCTACCGTTTTCGAGATCCCCATGCTGTTCAACCTTATCTTGGACAGACTGTATACACATTGTCCAATGAAGAAAGAAGGGCAAATTGTTCTAAATGCGATCCAAATGACAGGCGGAAAAGGAGAAATATGTAACTTCACAGTGAAATATCTTAATAAATAATGGTTCGTTCACATTTCCATTATCAAATTCGTCTTTTTCAGACAAGAATACGTAAGTACCAAAAAAATTTTTCGAAAAAACACACATAGCATGATAAGTGCAGTTTTAGGTAATTTTGCACTTATCATGCGATGGTTTTTTTTTCGAAATTTTTTTTTGGTACTTACGTATTTTTGTCTGAAAAACACGAATTTGATATGGAAAATGTGAACAAACCACTATTTATCGAGATATCTCAAGAAAAAGTTCGAAATTTTGCCTTATTTTCCCCCTTGTGTTGGATGCATTTACAGGTACTTGCTCTTTTTATTTTGTCATTGGACACTTCATATACTCATGATGTACTTCAATGACACATTTTAAGCTAGAAAATTCAACAGGAAACATGATTTTTATGGTGAGTTTTTCCTATTTGGTGAGCAAGCATACCAGATGACCGCCATTTAATCGATGGGTAATCCAAATAGGAGATGTCAAATGTCAATAGATTGCTTTGGAATGACATCACACACGCCATTATTTCAAATGATATTCTTCCTTCTTTTCACTAAACATGGATAAATCACAAGAAAATCATATTTCTAGTTGACTCATATAATAAAAAATATGTGTCTAACATTGTGTGATATATATAAATTGTCCAATGATGGAAAAAGAAGGGCAAATTGTTCTAAATGCGCCCTAAAGACAGGCGGAAAAGAAGGTGAAATTTGTAACTTTATAGTGAAATATCTCAATAAATAATGGTTTGTTCACATTTTCATTATCAAATTCGTGTTTTTCAGACAAAAATACGTAAGTACCAAAAAAAATTTTCGAAAAAAAACCCATCGCATGATAAGTGCAAAATTACCCAGTTTTACCGAATTTTCTATGAATAAAGCTTACCGAGGTATGAAATTCCAATGAAAACTTCAAGAGCATTATCACTTTGATCAAAAGAACTCACGAAATATATGGTCTTAACAAACACAGAAACACACTACTAACTATTCCCGACTCCCATCTACGTTAGAATGCGTAATTAAAATGTAAACATCAACAGGTAGTTGTTTTATCAGCAAACGAGAAAAAAATTTGAGGTTCTGTACAGGGTTGTCCATCCGTATATTCACGTACTTTTACACTGAGAAAAAATGCAATATGCTGAAGTTGAGAAGGCATGGCTTTTTCGCGGCGCTCATCAGAAGCTATACAGGACGATCCCTGAAGACGTGAAAATTGCAGATCAATTTTATAAAATCAAACACCTTGTTTTTTATTTTTTTTGCATCAGTGATTTTCTGTATTGACAAATATATTTACAGGGTGTCGCTTTTGAGAGGGGTTCCTCTATAACTATCGCAATATTGAGAACAAAAATGAATGTTGGGAGAAGTTGCACTAAATATAATAATGGCCTTCCCATTTTAAAATAATTTTCAAAGATGACTGACTTCGGGTTGATAATATGTATAAATTAATCTATGCAACAGACGTGGTTATGCATGCTTATTCTTGAAAATTGGACTATCATCAGTAATCTTTTTTGTTTCGGCTGATGATCTATCTATGACATATGATATACAGTGTGTCCCACTTACCATGCTCACCATGGGTATTTTTTTAACGGTGAGAGATACGAGGTCGGTTAAATGACACCAAATGTGGAGTTTGTCAAGGCCAACCATAATGTGAAAAAATATTTTGATAAAATCTATTCGTTTTTGTTTTATACGCCAAAAACAGATTTTGATCATTTTCATGTCTCCTCCGTAACTTCTTTATTTATGAAAATATTCAAATAGGAATTTCACATTCTCATGGCAGTTTTTCAAAGTGATTTCGAGAAAAATATGAAATTTATACCAACTCTTCTAGAATTTGAGATATCAGCACCAACTTTAGTGTTTCAAATGTAGGTCATAGCTCACTATGATTTAGTTACAAATAACTTTTTTTTCTCTTCCAGATGATATGTCGCAGTAATAGTTTTGTGTTGATAACAACGGAGTTATCGTCATTTATACAAAAACAAACAATTATTTGGAAGCCGCCATCTTGAATTTATAAATTTTAACAAAAAAATCATGATCTCAGACCTCAAAAACCCCCACTTACCAATTTTGAATGGAATCGGACCAAATCTTGTCCGCCATCTTGGAGCAGCCATTTTTTTCAATTTCAACAAAAATTCCATAATTCCGATTAACTTGAAATTTGACAGGTGTTCATAATTTCGGTGACTATACATTATGGAATCTTTGTTGAAATTAAAAAAAATGGCTGCTCCAAAATGGCGGACAAGATTTGGTCCGATTCCATTCAAAATTGGTAAGTGGGGGTTTTTGAGGTCGGAGATCATGATTTCTTTGTTGAAATTTATAAATTCAAGATGGCGGCTTCCAAATAATTGTTTGTTTTTGTATAAATGACGATAACTCCGTTGTTATCAACACAAAACTATTACTGCGACATATCATCTGGAAGAGAAAAAAAAGTTATTTGTAACTAAGTCATAGTGAGCTATGACCTACATTTGAAAAACTAAAGTTGGTGCTGATATCTCAAATTCTAGAAGAGTTGGTATAAATTTCATATTTTTTTCGAAATCACTTTGAAAAACTGCCATGAGAATGTGAAATTCCTATTTGAATATTTTCATAAATAAAAAAGTTACGGAGGAGACATGAAAATGATCAAAATCTGTTTTTCGCGAATAAAACAAAAGCGAATAGATTTTATCAAAAATTTTTTTCACATTATAGTTGGCCTTGACAAACTCCACATCTGGTGTCATTTAACCGACCTCGTATCTCTCACCGTTTAAAAGATACCCATGGTGAGCATGGTAAGTGGGACACACTGGATATTCACTTTCTTAGTATAATTATATCGACTAGGTATTCTAACTCTGAGAAAAACAAACAACAGTTGAATGAGGGAAGGTCAAAATACAGAATTACCCTAAAGAATGAATGAAAAAAAAAAATGTGACTATGCTCAAAATTCGCCAAATATAGAAGAAATCTGCTCGGTTGAATTATTGGTTACTTATGTTAGATATATTTTTCAGGTAGCCGGTGTGATAGTTGAACCAATCCAATCTGAAGGGGGAGATAATCATGCATCACCGGAATTTTTCCAGTGTTTGCAGAAAATCTGTAAGAAAAATGGCGCCTACCTGTTGATTGATGAAGTTCAAACTGGTTAGTTGGCTTGTCATGACGCTATCAAATGCTTATTCAATTCATTTCTTGAATAACTCTCATTTCCATGGGCCATTCTGAGGAGTCATTCATTGATTTCGTACCAAATTTCAAATTCATTATTATGCGATCAGAAGAAGTTGAAGTGGAAGAATTGTTTTCAGTTTTTACGCAATATTCCATATTTCTTAAATCTGTTCTTCTTTAGTCAATAAAAAACATCAACTTTTCTTCAACCTTCTCGTATATCTACCTCGCACGAGATCCCAATGTTGAGAAAGAAGTAAAAACTGTATTACTGGGCATAATATTGCAAGAAAATTGAAAGCAGGAATATATGTATAAAAACAAAAAATAGGAAGAAAGATATAACATAACCCTACTTTATAACTTTATATGTTTTAGGTTGTGGACCTACAGGAAAATTCTGGTGTCACGAATATTTCAACTTGGAATGTCCGCCAGATATCGTAACTTTCAGCAAAAAAATGCAGATGGCCGGATATTTCCAAACAGAAGAAATGTCGTAAGTATTGAATCCACGCTCTACTGGGTGGATATTTTCAGTTGAATATTTACTTCATCAAAAAAATCCCTTATATGTACAGGGTTCTGCATCTCACCTCCCGTCTTTTATTGCTCAGTTATAAGTTGAGTCAGGATTTTGATATTTTGCGGACTTCAATTGTATCATAGGGCGCATACCAGGAAAATAATTTCGATTATACAGGGTGTCCCAAAAAAGTGTGACGTCATAATTATATATATTTTTTAAATGTCATGCCAGTTTGTTTTTTATTCACGCATCGAATGACATGAAAGTATACAGGGGCTCCAATTTGAGATGAGAAGAATTAAGGGCTATGAAATTTGAAAAGTTTGCCACTAAATTGTGCACATCCTGTGATGATTCGTGTGTCAATCAAACACGGTTAGCGATCCTCTTAATCCTTATTTGATATGTATCTCTAATAATGGAAATCCTGACTAAACTGATAACTGAGCTATAAAAGACGTGAGGTGTGATGCAGGACCCTGTATATTGGGCTATTTTGGTAGACTTGGCAAATTATTGTCCTCAATATACAGGGTGTCCCGAAATCACATACATAGAATGATTTTAACCACAGATTCTAGGAATAAAAAAACTAAAAATACTTCATATAAACATGGGTCCGCAAATGGCCCCCTAGGGGGTTATAGCCATTTAAAGGAGAGCCCGAGATAATGGTTTGTTGTGATCACTCTGTGATAAAAAAAGACCCCGTGTCCACGGTTAACTTATTATAAGGACTTTGTCCACTATTCTCTTCCTCTCAATATAACCCAGCGAGCACAAACATCCCTGGGATGTTTTGGGATGTTTTGAAAATGTTGGCATGAAGATGTTATTTTGAGACGTAATATGCACTGACCAAAGAGGTCTTAGAAGGATATTGCATGAAAGTATTGTTCTTGTTCATTTGTGCCCTTTCTTTGTTTGCCCCACCACAACGTCTCATTCTTACGTCACAATACGATGAATTCTGATTTGTTTTCGATTTTGTTCTTCTTGTTCGCAATTGGCATTCGCGTTTGCAGCGTGTCACGCTGACATCACGTTGCTAACGAACAGAAAGGAATTTGGTGAAGTTCATTGTGTTAGAAGACTTATTTAGTTTGTAATAATGACTATCAGGATATAACAATTTTAGAATTTTTTTTTTAGATGCAAGATGTGTTGTTCGGTGCCTCAGTGTAATCAATATATAAAAGTACGAATTTATCAATACACAGCTTCTTCGCAGTTGCAAAATTATGCATTGTGGAGAACATTTCAAAAATTGGGAAACCTATTTCCAATTATATGTCTGTGTGTAGTCAGAAACCGATTAAGAAGGTAATTTCATATCAAGAAAATATTTTCATGTTCAATCTATTTTTAATGCATTTTTTCATTCAAGGGAAATGGAATCCTAATGCAAAAGTTCATTTTGACAAAAGGCTTCAGAAAAGTACCTCGAAAATGTTTTTTTTACAGAGATTTAATGTGCGCAAGACGCGTTGAAAATGTTCTGTTGTGTCCATGAAAAGGCTTTAAAAAGAACTAGGGAGAAGGTAGTTTTGTGACATATCAAGGACATCTCGATAATTGCCGCCTGCGGCGGACATTGGCTGTTCTATAATAGTTCTATTCATGTGTGAACAGAACATCGCAGTGGAGGTTCAATGTCTCGAAATCTCGTACTTTTAACATCTCTGAGATGTTTTTGTGCTCGCTGGGAACTTTCATTATGTTTGTAATTATGGATTCGGATGTAGCTATAGCTGCCTCCGTGGTGACGTTGATTGTTTCCTTGACCGAATCCATAATAATTATTGTGCGGCTGGCTTCTGTTTGTTGTCGTCGTTATTTTGTTGTTTCTTCTTCCACCAGGTGTTGCCTATCTTTCGCACTTTTGTGTCCGTGCCACGGTTAACTTGTTATAAGGACTTCGTCCACTATTTCTTCTCCGCTGTTAACAACAGTTCCCTCAATATTCCTTTCATCATGTAATTAGTAGTAGTAGTAGTTGGGAGTGATAGTTCTCAGTGCATCATTTTTAATTTTTTATTTTGTGTGAGATAACTCAGGAATCTGTTGGCCTGAATGAGTAGACATACCTGAAAATCATCGACCTATTTCAATTATTCCTATAATCGGCAAAATTTTCGAAATTATTATGACGAAACGACTTGTATCATATTTCGACACTAATAATCTCCTGCATGAGAATCAGTTCGGTTTCAGGAAAAAACGAAGTACCATACATGCTGTAATTAGTCTGGTAAAAGACATAGTCGAGGGCTTCGAGCTGGGTGGATGCACGAGCACAACCCTGTGTGATCTCAGTAAGGCCTTCGACTGTGTCTCGCATGAAATTCTATTGAAAAAGCTTGAATATTATGGTATTAGAGGAATAGCTCTAAACTTCTTCGACTCCTATTTACGCGAGCGAAATCAAAGGGTGTTCTTCAATGACGGTATATCTAGGTCTCAACAGAATAATTTTGGAGTTCCACAAGGCTCGGTACTTGGGCCTCTTTTATTCATAATATACGTGAACGATATTTTTGTGAACATGAGTCCATAGAAGTGTATATTATTTGCTGATGATGCAACATTTTATCATTCAGACAAAAGTCTGGCGAACATTGAAATCAAAGATAATACAGCACTTACGAAAATTGATGAGTGGCTAGTTAGTAATTTGTTCAAGCAAAATGAAAGCAAGTCTCAAAAACTATTATTCTCTTGTAATAATAACATTTCACGAGGAAATACTGCTAAATTGCTTGGTATTACTCTAGATGATAAACTAAACTGGTCGTCTCACATCGACAGTCTATGTAGAAAATTATCAAGCCAAATTTTTTTACTGCGAAAATTGAAACAATCCGTGAGCCTCGATGTACTGAGAGTATCATATTTTGCATTATTTCACTAGCATATTAGCTATGGAACCTTATTATGGGGAAATTCCTATCAGGTCTCCCGTGTTTTTATAATGCAGAAAAAGGCAGTGAGAGTTATTACAGGTGCAGGACCTAGAGACTCATGTAAATCCATATTTGCTAATCTGGGAATAATGACCTTACCATCAGTCTTCATATATCAGAGTCTCCTTGAGATTCATAAACACTTAAGAACTTATACTGCTTATAATGACATACACCAGTACAATACAAGAAATAATAATCTCCTATTAAATCCCCGATACCGTCTAGAAGTATCTGCACGGAACTCTCGCAATCTTCGACTTTTCAATAAGATGCCAGATAATGAAACCAAATGAAATTTCAGTTATTCAAAACAACCATAAAACACATTTTAGTTAGCAACAGTTTCTACTCCGTTGAGGAATATCTGAGTGCCGATTTTTAAAAAACAAAACAAATAATGATCATCACACAGTTCACACAGTGATTTCATGAGTATGTATTTTAATAAAAATTGTCTGTTTATTTACAAATTTACATGTATAAATGTTTTGACCTGCTATAAATGTGCTTTGTATGTACATAAAATAGTCAATAAACTTCTATTCTATTCTATTCTATATTTGCAACTGAATTTTTCAGACCGAAAAAACCTTATCGAATATTCAACACCTGGATGGGCGACCCCGGCAAAGCCATCCTTCTAGAAGCCGTCTTGAAAGTGATCAAAAGCCAGAATTTGCTCGAGCAAGTCGAGAAATCGGGAAGGAGGTTGCTTTGCGGGTTGCACGATTTGCAGAGTGAGTTCCCATGTCACCTGAATTCTGCAAGAGGAAGAGGAACGTTTGCGGCAATCACAGCTGAATCGCCGGCCCTACGAGACGATATTCTGAAGAGGATGAAGAAGAAAGGTATGTCCCATCCCTAACAATACAGGGCTGTCCTAGATACGTCCCGTGGTACAATGACATGATTGGGGCATTCAGGGGATGTTCCGCAGTGGTTGCCCAGTGGACATCCTGCCCGGCACATCCCTAGGTTATCCTATTCGTGTCCCTGGATTATCTGATATCCATTCACATCAGAGTCATTGAATTTCATCAAAATATTGAATTGCATTTTTTTGAAAATGTTTGTTTTTCTTCCGGAAAATAATTGTAATGAGAAGAAAGGATATAGTCTCAGAAATTCTTAATAAGAAATGACCATTTTTCGCAAACAGAAATCGTAAATACATAATGGCGTTCATTTTTAAACACCCAAGTATGATAATAATTATAGGTACCCAAATTCTAATAAAGTTGTATTTATTCAGGTTTCTGTAGTTTAGGCCTGTTTATAAATCTGTTGAGTACATAAATCTTCATAAAGCATATTAGCCAATGGAGTAAGGTGCGTGCCTGAAAAGATTGAAGAAACGCTTCACACCTATACCCACCATAGAGTACGGTCGCGAGGAAGCGGTGTCAGATCTTGAGAAGGCGGTAGTGCTGGGGAAACATTTTCAAAATATATCAAGTATTAATAAAGAGCCAGTTGGTGCGGTCCAGGAAGACATGGTGGCAACTGCAACAAGAGTGAGAACAATGCCCGACATCCTGCTCTCACGACAAGCCCTGGGCAGAAGTATAACATCTCCAAGAGAAATCATAGAAATAATTAAACACTTGAACATCAACAAAGCACCAGGGCTCGATGGTCTGGACATGGTTCTCTTAAAAAACATGTCGCGGAAGGCAATAGTGCAATTGCACTATGTGATCAACGCGATCATCAAATGCCAGCACTACCCAGAATGCCTCAAAACTGGGCTTGTTGTACCTATACCTAAACAAGGTAAGAATCCAGCTTCCACCAATGGCTACCGCCCCATATCACTGCTTAGTGCAGTAGCCAAGATCGTGGATAAAGTCCTCTTACGACTTATCTCGAAACACGTCGAAGAGTTGGACCTTGTACCAAAGGAACAGTTCGGGTTCCGCAAGGGACACAGCACTGTGTCCCAAGTGGCCCGAATTGTTCACGAGGTTAAAGAGGCCAGCAATAACGACAAAAACACCGTTATGGTCATGATGGACGTAGAAAAGGCCTTTGACACCGTCTGGCACGATAGTCGGGGCTAAATTCCAAGAAAAGTCCTCCGTTACAATCCTAGAAGCATTTATTGTAACAATTGAATAAATGACGTTAACCCCCTATTTCGACCCCGCTGAATCCTAAAATACCGTTTATCAAGTCAAAATTCCAACCGGTAGTGAGATATTCAAAATGGCGTCAAAAATACCCCTAAAATCAAATTATTTTTTACTTTTGGTCAGCTATACGACTGAGGTGCCGATGTCTATGTTTTCGGGGATGTATAACACGATGAGACACTCAAAAACTGTTTTGGAGCATTAAAAGTTCATCAAACTATCAAATTTTCACGAAATGGGCCAAAATTCCAAAAAACTTGTGAAAACGTGTTGTATATGCTTGCATACGTTCTGGAGGGCGCTTAATGCGTGTACGAGCTCGAAAAAGCGTTTAAACACTAGTACCTAAAAAAAAAACAGAATAGAAATAAAATCCCTCGATTTTTTCTTTTTTTTTTTCTTGTTGATTTTACCTGGAAGTGGCACAGAAGAATTTGTTGACGGAGGGCATCAGTGGAAGGTGGCAAAAACTCAAGCATTCGCACTGTCCCAAAAATTGCAACACGGACTACGTCTGCCGTTGTGATGTCCGGTCCAACCTAAAATAAAAATGGTTTCAGTATCAAAACAGCTAACAGTTTCTATTCACCATGTGACTTAGAAAAGAAACCCAACAAACCTTGTATAAGGCTTGCACCACAAACTGTTCAACCAAACGGAGATCCTCGGGGGCTAGATCAGGAGTCTTTCCAAGCTGAATGAGGAGTTTACAGTAGTTTTCTTCTATGTACTGCTTCCATGGTTCTGTTCTTGTGACTGACACAAACTTAGATGTAGTATCACATCCGGATATTGCTTGGAAAACCATGAGGTTTCTGATATGTTGTGGTGTGAGCTTCTTACATAGTTTGGAAATTGGAATATACTTTCTGTCTCGGGAAGAACCCCCATCACCCAGCATTCTTGCATTTCAATTTTTCAAAGTGATAGATGAACAATAAAATCACATCGGTGTCTCTAACAGAAACAACAACAGCCTCTCTATCGGTTTTGGTATCAGCCTCTTCATGGTTTGAAAATACGAGGTAAGGTCTCTTTCTTTGTTTGACTCGGCATGCGTCTCATCCACAAAACCACCGCTTGGGTCCATGCTGCCAAAGTCAAGAAAACAGAGGAAAGGGTTTTGCTCTCGATAGAAGAGTAATTAAGAACGATGGAGTTCTCCCAACAAGGCCGACCTAAGCGGAGAAGCCATGAACTATGACTGGCAGTCTGGAAGTCATTGTAGCTGGTGGTTGTGTGGATGAGATGCAAGCCGAGTCCTTAGAGACCTCACCTCGTATTTTCAAACCATGAAGAGGCTGATACCAGGATGGTGCTCCATGCGGTAAAAACCGAAAGAGAGTTAGAGACACCGATGTGATTTTATTATTCATCTATCACTTTGAAAAAATGCAATGGAAGAAATGCTGGGTGATGTGTGGTACTTCCCGAGACAGAAAGTATATTCCAATTCACGAACTATGTAAGAAGCTCACACCACAACAGATCAAAGGCCTGATGACTTTCCACGCAAGCACCGGTTGTGATACCATATCTGAGTTAGTCAGTCACAAAAACAGGACGGTGGGAGCAGAACATAGAAGAAAACTACTGTTAACTCCTCAGTCAGCTTGGAATGACTCCTGATCTAGCCCCCGAGGATCTCGTTTGCTTGAACAGTTTGTGGTGCTAGCTTCATACAAAGTTTGTTGCTTCCCTTTTCTAAGACACATGGTGAATAAAAACTGTTAGCCGTTTTTATACTAATACCATTTTTATTTTGGGTTGGACCGGACATAACAACGGCAGCCGCTGCCCGTGTTGCAATTTTTGGGACAGTGGGAATGTTAGAATTTTTGTCACCTACCACTGATGCCCTCCGTCAACACATTCCTTGGTGCCACTTCCAAGTAAAATTAACAAAAGAAAACAAGAAAATAAAATGTATCGAGGAATTTTAATTTTATTCTGTTTTCTTTTTATATACAAGTGGGAATTACCGCCCATGATCAGTATCCTGATTCACCAGACCCGATTAATTGCGGCTGGAAAATTGTTGATGGATGGTATGTCTCGATCTTGATGACTTTGCCTCCTATTCCCAAGTCATGTCTCGAATTTGGAGCTTGTGGCTGCAAGGGACTCTGCAGCACGAAGCAATGTGGCTGCAGGGAGCCGCTGACGGTGCAGTGCACCAAGAAGTGCAAGGCAAAGTCTCGGGCAAAGTGGAGTAGAAAAAGATGAAGAAGACTTCTGATAGTGAATTACTTTCTTTCAAAATGTAAGAAATAAAGGCTTGGACAATATTTAAATGCTTTTTTGAGCTCGTAAACGTATTAAGCGCTCTCGAAAACGTATGCAAGCATATACAACATGTTTTTTTGGGATTTTGGCCTATTTCGTCAAAATTACATCATTTGATAAACTTTTAATGCTCCAAATCATTTTTTGAGTGTCTCATCGTGTTCTACACCACCAAAACATAGATATCGGCAACTCATTCCTATAGCTGACCAAAAGTAGAAAATAATTTGATTTTAGTGGTATTTTGGACGCCATCTTGAATATCTCACTTTCGGTTGAAATTTTTACTTGATAAACGTTATTTTCGGATTCAGAGGAGTCAAATTAGGGGGTAAACGTCATTTATCCAATTGTTACATGAAATGCTTCTAGGATTTGGCTTTTCGCAAAACAAGCCCCGACTACGAAGGATTAATGTCCAAACTGCACAAGGCTAGGATGCCGATTTTTATCATTAAGATTATCGATGCATATATCACCAACAGGAAAATCGGGGTAAAGGTCAACGAAAGTATATCGGGAGATTTTCCACTCGAGGCAGGTGTTCCGCAGGGGTCGTGCCTCTCACCTCTGTTGTATACCCTATACACGCATGATTTCCCTGTATTCGAGCGGACGAGTACAGCATTGTACGCCGACGACACGGCGATATATGCCCACTCGGACGACTCGAATATCGCCAGGGCACAGATCCAGATCCATCTGGACAGGGGAATCATACCGTACTTTGACGAGTCAAAGATCTGCATAAACAGTGCAAAGACTGAAGTCATAAATTTCCATCGAAAAGTCAACAACTCCCGACTGAGCAGACCTTTGACCGTCAAAGGGGTTGAGGTGGCAGACACGACCTTCGTGAAATACCTGGGAGTCAAATTGGACACCCGTATGTCATTCAGGAAAAACACCAACTACCTGATACAAAAAATGCAATATGCAATCAAGAAAATTTATCCACTGTTATCCAGGACCTCCGCTCTATCACTGAAGAATAAAATCCTGGTATACAAACAAATAATCAGGCCTGTAATGACATACGCGTGTCCGGTGTACTGCAGCATCCCGCCTACTCATATGAATAGGTTACAGGTGCTGCAGAACAAAGTACTCCGTATTATCACCAACGGTGATAGATACTCTCAAGTGGCAGATCTCCACGAGAGATCTGGTAATTTGCCAAGGATCAGTGAGTACATCCTGAAAATATCAAATAGATTCTACAAATACCACATCGCTGGAAGTGACCTTACCCGGAATATCACCACAGTCAGAGAACACCATAATATACGCAAAAAGCATGGGCTGATATATGCATCAACCGATGTTTTAGGGAACCTGAGAATCTATAGTCGGGAATCTTCTCGGACTCTCGGACACGTCCGAGACGCTGGGAAGGAACTAGGCAACACTATCTGAAGTCATGATTGGATCCTTCGTTTATTGGATTCATATTTTCAAAAATAAAAAGGACATTCAGTTTAAAAAACATATCTATGACATAAGAAATAAAAATAACATAACATTGAAATATAAAACAAACAAGTCATTTGGACGTAGAAATTTTAAATTTTTAATTCCTTACCTATATAATAAAATTCCAAATGATATTCTAAAAACAAAATCACTACAATCCTATAAAATAAAAATAAAAAACTGGATATTAAACACCCCTAAAAATTATTTTATTTCTTTAATTAACATTTAATAATATCATTAGATAAATTTTAATGATAATTGTGAATAAGTATGTATGAATATAAATAATTATGCGTATTGAATGAAATGCTCCATACACTATATATTATGAATTGAATACTTGTCTCATATCTTAATGAGACAATTTTCAATTGTGATAACTTGATATTGTTAAATATTTATTGACCTATGTACATTTATTTATTTCTTATCCTTACTACAAGGTTAACTTCGTAAGGTTTTTCCCAGTTTATTCAAATTACCTTTATGTTTATTCCAATGTATATTTTGTAAACGTTTTTGAATAAACTTATATTATTATTATTATTATTATTACCTATTTTTATAATCACTGTCAAAACATTAGGAACGGAGACTTTCCTCGAGCAGTGAACACGGGTATCAACGCAATTATAAAAAAAACAAAATTTACTCGTATTTTCAGGTGTACAAGGCGGCGGTTGCGGACTCCAATCAATCCGTCTGAGGCCAGCCCTGGTCTTCCAAGAGCATCACGTCGACATATTTTTGGATATTTTTCGAGAGATCATGAAAGAAATTAAATGAAAGAAGCCCAGACAGCAAAACTTCAAAATATATGACACATTTACAAGCTGTTTCGCCATATTCGCTCACTGTCAGTTATCAGGTCTTCCAATGTGATGATGTCTTCCATTTTGTGCTAGAATAAATATATAATTAAATGAGGAATCCATAGTACATCGTTTTCTCTTTTTCCCTCTGTTATGTGGGAATATTCCTACTTCGTGTGTTCCGTTTGAAAAATATGAATTAATTAGTTTGGACCATTACGGAGAAAACTGAAACAATTTTTTCGTCTAAATATGAACAATCAATCCTCCTGTTTATGGAATTCACCGCAATTAGTAGAGGATCCGGAGTAAAGTCGACATTCACCCATCTGGTTAATGGATGAAAATTATTTTTCAAGTAATTCAGTATGATAATAATTATAGAAAAATGGGTCGTGTGAAAAAATCCTGGCCAGGCTGCGATTTTCCTAAATATACTGAACGCTAGCACAAACCACGCCAACCGTAATATCTCATCTTCGAAGTACTTAGGCACAACTCAGAAACTTTTTATCCTTAACGAACTAACCTATCCCTGATTGCAATATTTTTGAGGAAGGAAAACCAAATGGAGTGTAGAAACACATTGATTAATAATATATTTCAAAAGTTGAGTTCTTCAACAAAATTGAATAAAATGAGACTGTTTATCCTAAACGCACTAACCTATTTGACTTCAAATATTTTATGAAAAAAGAAAACCAGAATGAAGTAAAAAACATTGGTGAAAAAAAAAGTTTCAAAAAAAAGTTCAAGTTCACAGCGATTCGAACCATGGACCTTCAGACTGAAAGTCGACAGCGCTAACCAGTAGACCATTTGGGTGTATGAATATACTGCGTACAAGAGATTGACAACGAAAGAGCTTCAGTCGAATTCGTGTCAAAATCATAAAAAGTGTATTCTTGCGTTGGAGCACAGTATATTTAGTGCGATGTGCTGACTCCGAGTATATCGGTAATGTTTGGAGATATGACGTATTATGGTGGGCGTGGTTTGTGCTAGCGTGCAGTATATTTAGTAAAATCGCGGCCAGGCTATACAGGGTAACTCACGGTCCATGGTACGTTAGACGTTTACGGAGAACGGGACATAGGGTCATTCTGAAATTTCGGTTACTCACGTAGTTGCTCTTGGTCTATCGATCTGAAATATTTTCAGCTCTGCGGCGTTGCCGCTTCTATCGAAAAGTAGCAACAACTTTGTTATTTTAAATGGAACACCCTGTATTTTATTGCATTTTCAGATTTTCTCTGAAGAGCTGATTTCATCGATGTATCACACTTGGGGTCTAGCGGACATGATTACAGAGATATAGGGTGTGAAAAATCGACATTTTTCAACTTTTGGAATTTTTTTGTCGAAATTATTCATTATTGGTCAAAACGGCTCACATGTCCCTTTCTCAACTTTTGATTAACTATCTACTGATATTTAATTGGGACATATACCGGGTGATCAAGATTCTGAATGCTGCACCACCCTGTATTTGTTTCAATTAAATGTCAGTAGATAGTTGATCAAAAGTTGAGATAGGGACATGTGAGCCATTTTGACCAATAATGAATAGTTTCGACAAAAAAAATTCCAAAAGTTGAAAAATGTCGATTTTTCACACCCTATATCTCTGTAATCATTACCGCTAGACCCCAAGTGTGATACAACGATGAAATCAACTCTTCAGAGAAAATCTGAAAATGCAATAAAATACAGGGTGTTCCATTAAAAATAACAAAGTTGTTGCTACTTTTCGATAGAAGCGGCAACGTTGCAGAGCTGAAAATATTTTAGATCGATAGACCAAGAGCAACTACGTGAGTAACCAAAATTTCAGAATGACCCTATGTCCCGTTCTCCATAAACGTCTAACGTACCATCGACCGTGAGTTACCCTGTATAATCTATTAAAAATTCAAAAATTACTTTTTTTCACTTCCGATGAGTTTAATGAAAACATTTCACACCAACCGTAAGTACAAAGGCTGAATACTGAATATGCAAACGTAGGGTTGCCTATATATTTTTCCGGTCTAACTATTGGGTTGCCATGTATAAACAAGTATTTTGGTACACTAGTTAATTTCACCTACTTGTAAAATTAAAATAATTGTAAAATTAAGCGCTGTTTTATTCCGGACATAATCAAGAGGTCCGAGACAAATATATTCCGTGCGATAGACGAAGACAAATCGAGTTGAAGTTGCGCCACATAACTCATAATCTTTATATCTCACGACTATACCTTTTCAACTTCAAATTGAGACTTATCAATTTCGAAATGGGAATGATCATCGTCAAATTGGAACAGACTGATTCAGCATTGGAAATAACAAATTCAAATTGAGACTTTTCACTTTCAAAATGGGGACAACCAAATTTGAATTGGGAAAAAATGACTTCAACACGGCTTCAACAAATCCAAATTCAAACTAAACAAATTTCAAATAGGAACCAACCAATTTCAAATCGGAATGAAGCAATATTTTATTTATTTATTTTTATTTATTTCAGTTATTGCATTACATTCTCTTCATTGATACATTTCATACAAATAATATATAAAGTATAATTAATTTTCTAGTAGGAATGACATGAATGATGATCAGACAGTAATTCCTGGTATAAGATCATTCATGAAGTATTATCGACTGGTGTATAATTGAAATTACAAATAGTGAACAAAAATTACATATCATTAAGATACAGTTATATTATAGTGAACAAGAAGGGGAAAAATAAAAACAGTGAAAAAAAAAGAAAAAAGGAAATTCATAGTCTTTCAGCTTTGATCATTCCTTTGCATATAAATATATTTCTTAACTTCATTTTTGAATTGCATAATATTTGGGCTGTTTTTGATATCATCTGGTAATTTATTGTTTAATACGGTAGTGATTTCGTTGATGATATACAAAACACGTAATTCCATAAAAACACATCAGTTGTCGAATTTGTATTTTAAAAGTGATTCATTTCTCGAGTCAAAAGTAATGACTAGATTTCAGGTAACAACATTTTATATATTTATACATATATATTTATATATATCCTATGAATGCAGTAATCAAGAGAAGCGTAATGGTTATGGGGAGTTGACATATTAAAATTATCGTACGAATAACGCAATTTTCGTAATTTATTTATTTATTTATTTACTAATAGGAATACAAACGGGACTAACCCAAAAGCAGTATTCACAGATATGTCATATCTCATCATACAGATATATTAAAACTAAACAAATCGAATATCAATTACAAAGTTGATGAAAATCAATAATTGGAGTAATTATAAATGATTGAGTATAGGTACAACATGTAGTGATTGTAGTGTGTTGATACAAACAAGTAGTAACAAATAGTAGAACTCTTCATTCACCAAAAGAATAATTTCTTGAAATGTTTAAACATTCATACCAAGTACCTAGTATATATCTACCAAATTTTGACGTTGTCAATCAATCTGATATGGCTGTTGTCCTGTTGTCTAGCAATACATGACAAAATCAAGCTAAATTGCCATCCTATGGGAGGAAACTTCGAAGAAGTAATAAGTGCATTAGTAGAATGAAGAAGTGATAAGATTTATGGATTGGAATGAAAAACATGTACACAATATACCGCTGGAGATCATAGAATCAGCGTAGAGTGCACCTCGGTCATGTTAGCTCCCGGCCGGCCAGCTCCAAGCGGCACTTTTCCACCACCGGTCAATTTTCGTTTTCGCATTGCTCTTCGATCGTTACGTACGCCGATCATTACTACTTCCTCCACTAATTGATAACATCCACATATTGAACATATCCCCCTCTACGATTTCCATCAATCGATTTTTTTGGCCGGTCATTTCTTATGGTAGAAAAAAAAACAGGAATTCATATCGAATTGCGTGACATCGAAAAATTCTACCCTCGGGGCTGGCCTTTTGGGGTTGACATGATAAAACGAAATAAATCCTTTGTATTGATCATGTACTCCTCTGAGATTTCTATTGATTGTTTTTCTCGGCTGATAATTTCTTGTGGTGGATGAAAAATCTGGAAATTCAATCGAATAACGTGAAATCGAACACTTTTATCGTTCGCGCTGGCCCCTCAGAATAACGTTGAGCACAGTGTATCTACATTTTTTTCCACTTGGAGTAATACACAAAGATTATCAATATTCATCTTATATGTGGATGTTATCGATTAGTAGAGGAAGTAGTAATGATCGGCGTACGAAACGATCGAAGAGCAATGCGAAAACGAAAATTGACCGGTGGTGGAAAAGTGCCGCTTGGAGCTGGCCGGCCAGGAGCTAACATGACCGAGGTGTAGAGTGCGGGAATTTGAGAACTGAAAAGTACTTTACCGGCCCCCGGGCGGTAAATTGACACTTAACGCCCGCAAAACCGTGCGGTAAAGTGCACTTCACCACCCGCTAGTGCATAAACTCACTAAAATCATTCATTATGAATAAAATTATCTTTATTATCAAGTATACTCATAATAACTTGCATGTTTAGTAACCAAGTTGTTTTTCATATTGACTTCAATCATGGAAGCTAAAGCTATTATATATTATCTAAATCATGATATACATATAATAAAAGGCTCCGTTGCATTTCGACTATTACCTAATAAAATAATAATATGACAATTTGTAGAAGTAGGTATCGTGGATTAAAAGATGCGGACTTCCATTTCATTCAGTATACAGTCTGTTCCGTTTCGCATGAATATTGGTGGTTATTGTTTGTAGGAAAAATAAAATGAAAATGAAGTATTTGGTATAGCGAACATTTTTATTTACCATTAGCGTGCGATGTTGAGGGGCACAAAAAAGCATTTATTCTGGAAAAGGATATTAGCGAGGATAGTAGGGCTTATTGTAGATAACTTTCCCTATCAGATTCAGAATCAGCATCCCCAACCCCTCAATTCATATTCTCAAAATCTCAGGAGCTGAAAAAAAAAATTGAAAATCTCGCTTTTCATGCGACTACACCCTGAAGTCTCTCTTGAGATTTTGATGGTGATTGTATGTTAGTAAAATGGAGTACCTACTTGCCATAATAAACATCAAAAGCGGGATTTTGAAATCTTTTTTTGCTAAAATTAGCCCTTGAGACTGAGAAAATATGAATTGGGGGGTTTTTAGGGATGCTGACTCTCAATCTGATAGAAAAAGTTATTCAAAATAACCTCTAATTTGCTTTTCCCAAATGAAGGCCTTTTTATACCCCTCAATGGTGAATTAATGTATTCACTTGTCCAAATACTTCATTGTTCTAACATACAATCCCCACCAAAATTGCAAGAGAATTACATCATTATAATGACTGAGACATTAGGGTGTACTCATGAAAAGCGGGCCACAACTGTATAGTGCTTACCTATATCAATGGGGTTGTTCGGAGCAATGAACAATCCATGCGCACTTGAGACGTGTCATATGCATGATATCTTATACTTACAAGGAGGTATTTGTCTATGTTTCGGGCCCTGGCGAAATTACTTGGAGCTACCCAGTCATTGTCGTTCTAGATGACAACCTAGTTAGGTAGTTAGTAGGCAGGAGCTATAATTTTGTCTGTTCATTGAGAAGAAAAATGAAGAAAATATGTACCTCCTCGCACTAGGTCGCCTACTAGGTTTTCATTTAGATCGACAATGACCCAATCACAATGACTGCTATTCCGGACCCTATGGTCATGCATTTTATGATTCACATTATGATGCCAAATGTGACTCACAGTACGTATCAAGCGATTCCTCATTCAACATCAAAATTGATTAATTCCGTTTATGACATAAGAAGACAAGAATGTGAGGTTTCAGTTAGTCTCTGGGTTGATAGGGAGCCTCACAAATTCACCTACAATTCAAGTCTCAAATCCAATAAAATGTGACGAATATTGCAAATGTTTTGTAAAATAAAGAGACCCCTGGCAATACCAATGATGTTTTCTTGTAATTCGAATTGTTATCTAGCAAGACATGAATGTGACATCCCTGGGATAGGCCCCTTACAAAAGGAGTTCGCTGAGGTGACCAAGTTGATATTGCGATGGGTAAGGTTGAAAACAATCATAGGAATGAGTGGTAACCACGTAGTAAATCAAGAAATCAGTACAATATTTGCGCATGCGGAACTTCGGTAGGCGATTTTTATGGCGTTCTCGATAATACAAAAAGTATACGGTAGTAGGGGTAGGGAACTATATGCATCTAAAGTGATAAACACAAATACGAACCCATATTTTTATTACTTATAAATAAATAAATAAATAAATCCTATGAACATCAACAAATTATCTCTCAACCATGTTACTATAACTTTGCTGATACCTAGTTACCTAGATATTCAACATTATTTTCGTAGAAATTATACAGGGTGGCATTGAAATAAGTGCAAATATTTCAAACCCTGATAGAGCAGCTCGACGTATATACTATCGAATGGCACCAATAAATCATAATAGGGATCAAAATAAAATTTGGGGTTAGACAATAATATGAAGGTAGAGAACGAAACAAATTCACTGTTATTGTTTGTTAATTTTGTATTGAATATCGATAAAACGTATTTTTGATCCATTTGTAGGCCGGTATAATTGCTTGAATATACACGTGCAAAAAAGAATAACTGTTTGTCAAAATTTCACATGGGTGAATTTCTATTCATAATTCAATTGAAAATTTCACACCCAACATTTTCGACCAATTGAAATCCTGTATTTTGTAGCGTTACCATAGCAACTATATAAGCAAACTTCCGGAAATTTTTTGAAGTTTAAAGATTGAATTACATGTTTACACTTAACTTCAGATTATGTCAAATCCATTCTATACATTGCGAATTAAGTTTCTTGTAAGAACACATATTTCTACCAAAAATTTCGGTAAATGAATTTGTAAGAAACTGAGAGATTGAGCTTTTATATCGATTATTCCAGATTTTTGGGGATTTTCTCCTCGTTTCTATAAAATAAAAATATGAATACCATTTCAATATACGTGTAGTGACCAACAAATTTTCATTAACAAAGTCCACCACATTAAAAATGTTCTCCAACTCCTATCCAAAGAAAGAAAACAAACAATAAGGTCCACCACAACAAAATCAACCATCAATAGCGACAAATATAATACCATACCCTCAATCAACGACCATACATTCCCGGCATATCTGGAAAAATAAAACGTGTTGGTGATAATTTTCAAGTGAACACTGTGTTCAAAACTGAAAATACAATGAGATCAATTCTAACTCAATCAAAACCGAAAAATGATAAACAATCGTCAAAAAATTGTATTTCAGTATATCTTGTGTTTGTGAAAAGGTTTATACAGGTAAAACCAAGAGACCTCTTTCAGTAAGGACGAAGGAACACAAATATACAATATAAAGAAAAGACATATCGACAAATCGAAACTAGCTGAACATATTCTTACTGAAGATGGACAACATATGGGAGAATGGAATGATATCAAAAGAAGATAACAACCAGAAGAGAAAAATTAAGGAATCTGCTTGCATTCTTCTGAACGGAGACAATAGCATTGCTTCCTGTTCAGTTGATATAGATAGAACATGGTATTCACCACTGAAATCTGAAGATAAAAATGGTGAATTCAAGATTAATTAATAAAAACATCCTGTACATTTGATTACCAACGTCACCAATTGTCGCTGAGAACTGAGAAGTGTCACTGGTACTGGTACTGGTGGGGGACGTTTCCACGTCAGCAACTAGTCCCCAATGGGACCTTTTTGCAAACCCCAAGTGTTTTCAATGACTGATGTGGTTCGCTCAAGAGAGCTGGCTAACATCCTTTTCAGGCACCGCCCATCAGCTCTCTTTTCAGAGTTTTTCAGCTGTGTTTTGTAGGCTAGTAATGTACTCACTACCATATGCGCAGTGGCAGGCCAGCTAACTATCCTCGTTAACCCCCGAGTCTACTTAAGCAGCTGGCCCGCTTTCACGCTCAGCTGGTAGTTTTCCACACCCACCTACATACACCGTCCTACTTCTTCTCTGATGTTCACAACCACATCATCATATCTTTCTGCGTGTTCTGTGTAGGCTTTGTTACTAACTCCATGCGCCACTTTAGGAGGAGCACTGTTAATTGGAACGCAACAGCGAATCGTGCAGTGAGAAGTGTCAAGTCAAATACGAATTCTCCCCTTTTTTATGTTGAAAACAAGAGCAGATGCGTTCCCGAAACGTCCAAAGATAAGTGAGAATTTGATATTTTTTCTATATACCTTTATTTCTTTTCTCCAAACCTTTTTCAAAACAAATTGTCACTGATGAGCTAGTAAATTTTTCTTTTAGGCTCTCTGATAAGAAAATTCTTTAAGCGCAGTGACATTTTGGGGCAAATTATCTGATTTGTCCTCACTACACGTATATTGAAATAGTATTCATATTTTTATTCTATAGAAAGAGGAGAGAAAATCCCAAAAAATTCTGGAATAATGACTGTGTACCACCTCCTCGATTAACCTACAGACAGTACTTCTATATCGACTTTTTATATTTTTTTCATTCAACTAATACGTGAGCAAATTTCATTGATACTGGTACCTACTGCGAGTTTATTATGAGAAAACATATTAATGAAAAATCGAGGAATTGAGCTACTATACATATATCGACTTATTTTTTTTTTTGTAAATAAAGTAAATTAATTGTGTTTTGTTCAACCTAACAATGTTACGGATGTGAATTGTATTGATACTACATATTACTTCAAGTTCCTTGTAACAAAATATGTTTCTATCCTGAACGAAATATAGACACTGTGAACTCTGATTTGTAATGTTATGTAAGTTAATGTAATGTAATTATTGTTCCATCGCTAATAACCTCTAGAATAATGATCTGAACTACCACCAGCTGCCTTTTATTAATAGTTTGCGTAACAAAGTCGGTATTATGTATTTTATTTAGCGTTATTTATTATCCAAGTATATTTCAAATAATATTTTGGTGTGAAATATTCTTTCCAAATACCCGAATTTCTAGCTTCAATTGAAAACCGTATAATTTTTCCACGAACATGAATATTTAATACATTCTCCCTTGCATATCAATCGGGAAAATTTTCAGAATTTCCGTGTGCTTCAAAAAAATTCCGTTAATTTGAAGCTCTCGTTGTATTAGGTATATGGTATAAGTGATAATTTGGTGTATTTTGTTCGAATATATTCAGTGCGGTAATAACCCTGTTTGACTCGCAAACGTAAATGTCGTTTATATAGCTGTGTCACCTGGTGTCCTTTTTGGTTTCAATAAAACCATGAACTATTTTTGAATCAAAACCACGTCATTAATAACGCGAGTTATCCGCCTCGCTGTATCCAAGGTTCACTGATAAAACTTTGGAAAACGGTCGGGCGGGAACATCTCATTTGTGTTTGCATTGATCTAATCACACATCACACGCCATACTCATCACAGATCCCTCATACTACGAGCGTTTAGTGATAGTGATTCGTGTTGTAGCAGACCACTTGTGGTGAATCTCTGATTTCTCATTATCCAGAGGCGCGTTCCGGTTGGGAAAGAGTTGACTCTACTGCACACCAAAAATGTGGGCGAAATATTTGAATGCTGCAATCCCGAAAACATTGAAAATAGGTTGAGTACCAATAATTTATTAAAGAGTGCCTTCATTCGAATTTTCTAAAAATATCTTGAGTTTTCATCAGAATGTAAGATATAATATGAATACACACACAGAATACCTATAGTTATTTATACATATTTTTGTACGAGTCGTAGATACCCGGCTCATGGTGACTTTAATTAATACACCATTCTGCCTATTGTAAATATTTGTTTATGGACTTTTTGAATTTTGCTGGCTTATAAAATGCTCCACACTAGATACATATGATATAAGGTGTTTCCGAAATTGGAGCCATAAAATAAGTAAAAAAAGACAAAAACTAAACTCTTTTTGTAGCATTATTATATAAAACCTCGTTTGTGCAACTACCGTCGCGTGGGGAAAAGTACTACTTTCCGAACTTGTTAGGTAAATAACTATTTCGGTTCGATTTTCGGTAATTGGATTTTACCTGAAAGTTTTTTCAATTATCGATTGAGGTTTACAGCCGAACCCGAGCGTTTGCTATCGGCGGAAGTCAGATATGTGTATACCAACGGCGAAGTATGAATGATTTTTTTAACCGAAAAAAATATAAAAAGAAGAGTTTATATGAAAATGCTTCGCTTCCGAGATACAAGGTGTCCAAGTTAAAAAGAAGGAATTTTTAATATCTTGAAAGCGCTAAGCATTTTCATTTTTCCTCGTGGAGTTCAGATTTTCAAACTCCTTTCAATAGGTTTCATTACTCGATGAATAGTTTGTTCTATAACCAAAAAACACCTTCTGAATTATATAGAGTATATTTATAGAACACACTTCGAAGTGTACTTACAGGTCCGTATTTTTTTTGCATTTTCCATTGCCCTGTATTCACATTTTTTATTATTACAATTGCAAGAAATAAGCCCACATTTTCCGCAGATGAAGCAGTTATCTCCTTAAAACAACTTGAAACTTTGAAATATCTTGAAACCTTCTCAATATCGGGTAAAATCTATGGCACAATCAATATTTATTATTGAATTAAGGCCCTGTGAAGAGGTCTGATTGGTTACAGGGGGATGTTTGGCCTAAAAAGGAACAATATTGATGAATGCCAATATAGAAGGCGTTTGAAAATGTGTTGAAAAAATAAGAACCTGCAAAATGGAATATTTTCATAATTTGATTTGGGTTATCCATTTGAGTTCAAAATTTTTGTAGTAAAATATTGGTATGCGAGAAAATTAAAAAGAGTAAATCATTGAACTAGAACGTCTCAGGGCGTTACCAATTTTAGATGGGGTTCAGAAATCACGAGTGCAAATGCAAAAAATAGTATTTGTATTATTCTTTTAGTGTTACTACCTGTGTTACTACATTGTAAAATAACACTCGTCAATGTAAAAAAAATGATAATAAATAAATAAAAATATTGATAACAATAGGTAATACGTGATGTTATTCAATTAGTTTGACCCTCATACCCAATAATATTACGATTTTATATTGCCTATTGCTGATTGCCTCGTTGAATGAATGAATATCGATTTAAATTAAATGGATTCAATTCGCGTATCATCTACAGTCATATAAATAATATACTACGCTCGAAGGGTCAAATGCTAAATTCAGTAAAAAGTAGTTGAAAAAGTTAAAATTTAAACAATGAAAATAATTGCACAATACATAATATGGAATACAATGATATTTTTTGTAGAGTTTTATTTTCAATTAGAAACCTTCTGTATAAATGAAGATGATGAAATGTTACTGCAGATGGCAAAACATAAAAATAGTATATAAACTACTCAACACTAATTTCGTCGCACACCAAAATGTCGCCCCTTTTATAATGTGGATAACTTTTTTCAGTTTAGAACAATTTGAATTTGGTTCACACTGTTCGATAGCCCAGTCCTTCAGCTATAATCTGGTTCTTCATTGAAACATAAGGGTGCCTATTCACATAAAATCTCTACATGGTGTTTTCCGACACTGTGCAAAATTTCGGAATATTCAAGAGGCTCTCAAATGGTGAAAAACACGTTTTTCTCAACTTCGACAACAGAGGCATGAAGATGATCTCATTACCTCGAGATATTTCGCGAATCAACTTCCTATCTCTCTTATTTACAGAGTGATCTCAAAAAATCAACTTTTTGGTTTTGCAGCCATAACTTTTTTCCACGTCAACCGATTTTGAAAATCTTAGGCTCATTTTGAAGATAAAACTTCAGATGAGGAGATCTGAATATCAGAATTGACTCAAGATGGCTATCAAAGATCTAGAGTTTTCTTGAGAGTGACCCAAATCTGGAACGCCCACCAAATCTCGGTTGAGAGGAGAATTGAATGAAAATCAACTTGTTCTCGGTAAAACAATTCATTCTGGATGCGTCCATATTCTCCTCGCTCTCAGTAGTCAAGAATTGAGCGTGAGAAAACACAATTGAAACATGTTCTTGCAAAAACATTAGATCATTTCTCCTCTGTAATGCATGGCCCGCCGTAACCAACGTTACAAGAATCACAATGAGTGACTGACAAACCCAACCAGCTGAGGCTCATCATGAATGGTGTACCAACAAGAGCAACGGATTTTGATTTTTTCAATAAAGTGATTTTTTTAACAGTTGTCACGTACATAACATGCGATTTAAGAATATGGAGAAGTATTCAAGCAAACAACGTTTATTTATTGTAAAAACGCATTTCAAAAGTGGTGAAAGTTTCACGAAAACAGTTTGCCAATTACGTAAAGTTTTCAATCGCAATAATGCGCCGAACGAATCGACAGTAATAACCAAACAAGTCGTGTCGGAGATAAGCCCTTTGAATGGATCGGACTGTCGTGTTTAGCAGATCCGCGATTTGGAGGAAAGATACCCTTGTTCCCTCATTTGTGGAATCAGTTCCAACTGGTCAAGCGTTAAATGCTGCATCGAAACTATCAAAATCTGTTTATGATTCGAAAACGACGTCTAACCTGACTTGTCAGTCACTTACTGTGATTCTTGTAACGTTGGTTACGGGCCATGCATTACAGAGGAGAAATGGTCTGATGTTTTTGCAAGAACATGTTTAAATTGTGTTTTCTCACGCACATTCTTGAGTACTGAGAGCGAGGAAAATATGGACGCATCCAGAATGAATGGTTTTTCCGAGAACAAGTTGATTTTCATTCAATTCTCCTCTCAACCGAGATTTGGTGGGCGTTCCAGATTTGGGTCACTTTCAAGGAAACTCTAGATCTTTGATAGCCATCTTGAGTCAATTCTGATATCCAGATCTCTTCATCTGAAGTTTTATCTTCAAAATGAGCCTAAGATTTCCAAAATCGGTTGACGTGGAAAAAAGTTATGACTGCAAAACCAAAAAGTTGATTTTTTGAGATCACTCTGTAAATAAGAGAGATAGGAAGTTGATTCTCGAAATATCTCGAGGTAATGAGATCATCTTCATGCCTCTGTTGTCGAAGTTGAGAAAAACGTGTTTTTCACCATTTGAGAGCCTCTTAAATATTCCGAAATTTTGCACAGTGTCGGAAAACACCATGTAGAGATTTTATGTGAATACCCTTATGTTTCAATGAAGAACCAGATTATAGCTGAAGGACTGGGCTATCGAACAGTGTGAACCAAATTCAAATTGTTCTAAACTGAAAAAAGTTATCCACATTATAAAAGGGGCGACATTTTGGTGTGCGACGAAATTAGTGTTGAGTAGTTTATTATACACCTACGGTGAGAAGTGAGCTATATAATTGCATTCTCACACGAGTTGAATATAATATTTTTTCCACTCATAACACTGAGGAGCAATGCCATTCACCGTGTATATTCAGCATTGTTCAGCATATAACTAAAATTTTGATATATCAAGTAGGGTAAATGCACTGGTTCTCGACCAGTTAACCGAAATGTCAACTTTGAGAGTGGTAAATTCGTGTAAAAGCTTACAATACTGTATTGTAGTCAATGTGTACCGATTCCTTGATTATTTGAAAGTAATTTGTAAATATGTTTCAAGCGATTTTTTGCATTCAACTTTTGAAAACTTGATAAAAGTAATAAATTTCAATTTTTCTCGACCACCCCGCAGAGTTCTCGACCATTTTCATGTTGATTCTCGACCACCGTCTATCAGATTGATTCAGGAAATGAGATGATTGAAAAACACTTGACATGTAAAATAAGAATGCAGAAATCATTTTATATACTCAGGCAGAGTCCTAAAAACTAAAGAACTGAAAAACACTTATTCTTAAACATAGGAACCTAATGGTCATTGCCCTTGTCATTGTTTTCGACTTCTAATGAGCTATGAACAATGAAAATCAACATAAATCATATTTATAAATTTGTGCAGCTGCAATAGGTACTTCATGGTAAAATATGGTAAATATTTTATTGATATATGATATGATCGAGAACCAAAATTTAGTTCAACCTGGTTTTCGACCACAGTGGTCGAGAACTCGCTGATGAATATGGTCAAATTGGTTTTCGACCATCAATAAATTAATTGCAGAAGAAATATCATTTAGGCCTCATTTGATGATCGCAAACTAATATTTAATAAGTAGATATGTAAATGAATCAGTTTTTGGAAAAAAATATCAACATTTCTCAATGAAAGTATATGAATAGACATAAACAATTGTTCAAGATATGCTTTGGTTCTCGACCACTTTGGTCTGTTTTTTTCTTGAAATACAAGGGAAACTTCATCTACTAATTGATATAAAATAAAACTCAAAGACCTAATTCAAAATGAAGGTTATTCACTATTTCCTGACCTGGTATCAACTAGTACTTTTCGAACGTGGACGATAACACAGCCTCTGTCAATGACATCATTTGATGATTTTCTGTGCGAGGAGCTCCACTTTTTTCCATTCTGGTAGAAATTTTGAATCAAGTTAAGTGGCCAAAAACACATTTTGTAGTGAATTTGATGGTATTAGCAATATTTCTCTCATTATTTTGTCTCAAATGCCAGAACGGTCGAGAACCAGTGCCGGTCGGTTAACCAGTTTCGGTCGGTTAACCAGTGCATCTACATGCATCATAATGACAAAATCACGCGGCTTGTGGGATTTTTCGTACATGAATTGAATTGTTGAAGAAACTGAAAGGAAATTCGACCTGACTGCCAGAAAATGAACGCTGTATTAAATTTCTAGGTGGAATTGTGCGCTCCAAGCGATAAAAAAAAAAAAAAAAAAAAAACTAAAAAACCGAGTGAGAATTTAAGTGACAATAATTTCGATAGGAAGCTTATTGTACCTCGCCTGTCACACATGATACCATTGGACAATCATTGAAGTGGTACATCATATTGTGTCGACCGCCATAGCTGAAATTGTTTTGATTGGTCAAAAAATGTGTCCTTAGCGAAAGTCATAGTTCATAGTTCTGGTCTAATTCACGTTGATTGCATACAAGAATTATACCACTTGGGTTGCATACACCATACACATTTGTGTGTATATTGCATAATATCATTGACACTATTGACAGTTTTTTCTACCTAGGTAAAATTTCTTCATCAATTCATCATTATTTATCTAGATTCATTATTCCAAATTTCTTGGGATTTTCTCTCCTCGTTTCTATAAAATAAAAAAATGAATATTATTTCAATATACGTGTAGTGAGGACAAATCAGATGATTTGCCCCAAAATGTCACTGCGTTTAAAGAATTTTCCTATCAGATAGCTTAAAAGAAAAAAAATTCATTAGCTTGTCAGTGACAATTTGTATTGAAAAAATTTTTGGAGAAGAGAAATAAAAAAAATATCAAATTTTCACTTATCTTTGGACGTTTCGGGACCGATTCTGCTCCCGTTTTAAAAAGTGTTAACTCATTGAAGGAAATCCTCGAATAACGGTGATTTCTCTATTTATTATTTATTATTATCCCAGATAATACAGAAACGTCCCGAAAACGTCCTCCTTCCAAGAGGGCTAAATTAATCCAATTTTTTGATCTTTAATATTACTCTATTTCCTAACAAATAAGCTAATCAACTTTTGTAGTACTTATCTTTTTTATTTCATTATTCGTAGCTCGGTCTAAACATCCTTACATAGAATCCAATTTTTTGTTCTTTAATATTACTCTATTTCCTAACAAATAAGCTAATCAACTTTTGTAGTACTTATCTTTTTTATTTCATTATTCGTAGCTCGGTCTAAACATCCTTGCATAGAATTAGATGATCATGGCAGAGAATACCTAAATAGATATTTTGTCGAGTGCTATGTGGGATAATGATTATAACATTTACAAGAATAGCATACCGTGTTTAAGACAAGAATCTCTGATACGAATTTGGTTCAATAAGAGAAGAGTTGCGATTTTATACAAGGTATATATTTTACGGGCTATATAAAAAAATAAAGTTGAAGATGGTTTCTCCGAAACGAAACGTCGTACGGAAAATCTCTCAATACTGTTTTGTAGAGCTTAAAAAGTAGCAATGAGAAAGTGTCTTATGTGTTTTTAGGTCTCTTCAAATAACGACAGAAAAATTTGAAAGAAAATTGGCAAATTTCGGTTTCTAGGCATATTTCCGGAACTACTGGGAATTTTGAAACTTTCTGAGCGGCATATTGTTACGCTTGAAAATGCGCAATTTTTCTCTAAATTAACGATCTTCTCTTATGGTTTCCGATACCCCCAAATAGACATCCTTATCTTGAACACATTGTATATCATCCGATATAGTGATTATACAAAGTGAATGAATTTCTTATCATTCGGGGAATTTCTTCCATTTACTATTGTATGACTGCCGGTGACCCATTCAGATGACCTCATTTATCGGTTAATAATAATTAATTGATTTTTTCATTCCAATGACGTAAAATTCTCTTAGAAGGATGAACTCGCATGATCAATGCCCTCACATGCACAAGGTATGTGCCTTACCATTTTAGCCATTCAGGCTTCAAGACACATCATATTATGTGCCTTACATCAGTCAACTCATGAATATATCCTGGCACATGGTGAGTGCCTTGAAGCGTATATATACAGGGTGTTTCAAAAAAACCTGGCCCCCTTGCTAGGGTAGGTGGAACACTGCAAAATAAGTTGGGTTTGCTCAGTCAAAAAATGTCGTAACGGCATCCGTTTTCATGATACGAGGTGTTGAAAAAATTATTTTTTTACACATTTTTCACGATTATGTCGAAACTACTGGCAACATTGTCATGAAATTTCGTATGGATGTTCCTTGAAATCTGACACATCGCATGAATTTGTTTTTATATCTGACTCTCATAGAGGGCGCTAGTTACACGTTTCGTACAGAGTAGTATAGAATATAACATTTTTGAGGTTAGATTTTTCAATCCAAATCTGATATGAACTTGAACATCATTCAATTTTACACCAAAAAGGTACTCTTGATGAAACTCGATACTATGTTCCGTTTTCGGAATATTTCGATCGAAAATAATGGAGTAGTAGAAACAATAAAATTATTCTTGTGCTGAAGTTATTGATGGAACAAAGAATCATAAGTAGAAAATTAAGAGATATATAACTAGAAAAATGGAATATTGAATCAGTTAGAGTAAGTGTTCAAAATGTCCTACGTTTCGACGAATTCACGATTCTATATTATTTTCTTAAGAATGTATTATTCTTCTAAACAGTTGAGTATCAGCTGTTATGAGTCATTTGAGTGATGATCAATTATGTCTTACAACTCTTGACGTGAATTCACCTATGTAGCATAGACTTTCTGCTCAAGATACAACAAAACTGTGTAATCCATGTTCTTAGACAAATCTGTTTCGATGTTATTCTTGTTCAATTTTTCATAATACTCACTCTAATACATAGCTTTATACCGGCAACAGTTCTCACTTCAACATTTTCAAATCGAAATATTCCGAAAACGGTACACATTATCGAGTTTCACCAAGAGTACCTTTTTGGTGGAAAATCGAATGATTTTCAAGTTCACATCAAATTCGTATTGAAAAATCTAACCTCAAAAATGTTATGTTCAAAACTACTCGGTACGGACCGTGTAACTAGCGCCCTCTACGAGAGTCAGGTATAAAAACAAATGAATGCGATGTGTCAGATTCCAAGAAACATCCATACAAAATTTTATCACAATGTTGCCAGTAGTTTCGACATAATCTTGAAAAATGCGTGAAAAAATAATTTTTTCAACACCTTGTATCTTGAAAACGGATGGCGTTACGACATTTTTGTACTGAGCAAACCCAACTTATTTTGCAATGTTCTACCTACCTAGTAAGGAGGTTAGGTTTTTTTGAAACACCCTGTATACATATATACAGGTTGTCTGTAAAAGGTTTGGACATGGCTCGGCTGTGGACTCCTGGGATAAAAAACAGTTGATTTAGGCCAACTTACCTATATCCAAAATCGTCTCGTTGAGTTGGTACAAGGCGTTGAAGTTTTTTTGGAAAAAAATAATTTTGCTCATAAGAAGAGTAGGCTCAGATCGATTTTCATAATTTTTGGCATGGCATGTTTTGTGACTTTTTCAAACAACCATGTTGCTGTACAAATTTGGTGATAACTTTTCAGAGGTCGGAATGGAAACTTCCAGTTTTTTTTTCAGAAAGATATTCCCTTAAGAAATGTTTTTTGTATCGTGTTAATTTTTGATAAGTCTCGAGCTTCATTTGCAAATAAATAATTTCTGATGAAATCGCACACACTGTATATTCGCAATTCAAGATGACCACCCGGTAGATACATTTATCTCAACGAATTTTCAGGAGGCATCAGAGCAGCATCTTCTCTAGTTCCTGGAGAACCAAGCGAGCCCAAAATCGTTACCACTGAGATTCCTGGACCAAAATCTAGAAGTCTGATTAACGATTTAGATACTGTCACGGTGAGAGTTATGATTAATTAGGGAAGAAGGGCGGTTTTGAAATGAAATTTTGAGGGGAAGGATAATGACATTCTGTTAGAACTTCCGAGGAATACAATTGAGAAATTCGTCAGAAAACAGGCGTTTGAAAAAATGTATGTGTTCTTGACGTCTGCCCAAGCCGTGAATACAATATTATCGTAGACGCTTACTACGTTGAAAATTTCATAAATTTATTTTCTACCAATTAGAAGGCTGTTTTTTTATCACGTTGCTCATAGCAACGGGTGACTATCGCGATAATTTTGTTCGGTCCTATTAACTTTATGGAATTAATAAATGATATTCATTCTGTCAAGAATGAAGCGCCTTATACAGGGTGATTCAGCCCAGACAGCACTGGATATTCATAGAATATTCTCTAAATATGCTAAAAAGGAGGAGTATATTCCGAATATTCATCGATTATTCCTAGAATATATACATGCGTCAGGATCATCCGAAAGGAATATTCCAAAGTGAATAGTCGGACATGTTCAGGGAATATTCAGGTATGAATCTTCCAGGAATATTCCCAACTGAATATTCTCTGTTGTATATTCATGAAATATACCCAACTGAATATTCTGTGCGGTATATTCATGAAATATTCTCAACTGAATATTCTGTGGTGTATATTCATGAAATATTCCATGAATATTCCTATGTTTCTCAACACATAAATACCATTCATTATTTCAGAGATGTAAGTATCGAACATCAATTTGATGTAAGGGGATTTTGAAACAAAAAGTGTTTATGATCCGATTTCTAACAATGCTCTCACAAGAACTTGATATGTATAACATTATTCAATTCGATTACTGGCCTAGTGGTCAAGGCGTTGCTCTGATATTCTTGAGGTCACGAGTTCGATCCCCACTTTTTTTTATTTTAGAATATGTTTATTGGAATATTCCAGGAACATTCAACATAGAATATTCTTTTGGGTATATTCTATGATTATCTGAGGAATTCCCATTCGCATATTTAGAGAATATTCCAGATTATTTCTAGAATATTCCAATATTCTAAAAGGCATATGATAGGGAGATTCATGGAATATCTGGTGCTGTCTGAGAGATTCAAGGGCACAAACTAAAATGGGTGATACATGAGTCCAATCTCGATCAAGGAGTCGGAGTTTAATTAATATATCACTTTTGAAGATTTCAAGTAGAAATTTCGCGTGGTTGATACTTCCTAGAAGATCTTCATTTTGAGCATCTTGAAGATTTTTAATATCTACAGGGTGATACGCTTTTGCCTCTACCCCAGCTTCCTTATCCCCCACAAACTTTTTCGTAGTACGACTCTGACATCTTTCAATTAAGAAATTGAATATATCGTTCAATTTCGAGGATTTTTTGCCATTCAATTTCTTTCGAGAAACCAACCGTTTTCAGAATGAATAAGCATATCCGTTCTAAAAACTTGTTAATTTAGCCTATATTGTTTGGACGAAATTCGCAGTAAATGTGTCGGAAATACAAAGGGTAGAAAGTAAAGGTTTCGTTAGTTTTTAATGTTGGTTGAATTTTCTCCAAGAATAAAATTTAAGCGAAACGTAGACAAATTTAACATGTTTTAGAACGTATATGCTTATTTATTTCGAAAACGGTTCGTTTCTCGAAAGAAATTGAGGAGCAATAAAAGTTTCCAAATTGAACAATTCACATAATCCGGTAACTATAGATGATGTCGGAGGTGTACTACTAAAAATTTTCAGAAATGTAGATTTTGAAAATCTTCAAAATGCTCAAAATGAAGATCTTCTAGAAAGTATCAACCTCCTGAAAGTTCAAATTGATAACTGTTGAGAAACTCGGTATATTTTCTAGTTCAGGGACGGTTGTTAGGGAAACAGTAGTGTTTTTGAATGATTGATATGTATTCAACTCTGTATGAATATACGAATTGAAAACTACTATAAGCCTTGTTTTATAAGCCAGTTGTTAATATTTTTGAGCCAAAGGTCCTTCGAGTTATCAGCCATTATAAGCCCAAACAATAACCTCAATAGTGAACAAGATATTTTAATTAATAGAAAAAATAATTAATCTTACCTAACCTAACCTGATCTCTTGTAGCTCCGCTACTGATCGAGATCGGACTCATGTTTGTAAAGACATTTTAGATTAAAATAATAAGATCTATCACAAATTTCAGTTTTTGCCTCAAAACTTGAATCGCCCTGTATATACTGGCAAAAGTCACTCAGTTACATGTAATATCAGTTGTTATGATTGAAAACGAATTAATGTTTCCAATGTCTCTGAAATGTAAGTAATAAACCTTAGTTTCTAACAAGTAAGATCAACTTCTTTTGTAAAAATATAGTGCGTCATATTCAACAAAACTCATCGGAAATATGTTTTTTAAGTATTCATTTAAAACTATATGTAGACATGTAATACCAAATGTTATGGTTGAGAACATACTAACAAGTAGTTTCACCATCTATTGAGAAAATATAGTGGGTCATATTTAACTGAACTCATCGGAAATATGTTTTTTTGAAGTTTCATTTGAATGTTATGGTTGGAAATTAATTGATGTTTCGAATGTTCCTGAAATTTTAGTAATAAACCTTAGTTACTAACAAGTAAAATCAACTTCTATAGTGAAAATATAGTGCGTCATATTCAACAAAACTCATCGGGAAAATGTTTTTCCAAGATTTATTATTTGAATTTTAAACTATGAAGACATTGGATTTCAGATAACTAATTTGTTATTTCATGTTTCTCACATTTCAGTAATAAAAACGAGTTATACCTAAGTGTCAAATTTTATTTGACATCTACGCAGAATAGGTCGTAGGGTTCATCTCCTCATCATATTAAAGCAACTCCAATTATTTATGAAATTTTCTTACCGAATCTCCCACGCAGCAGAATTATTAATTTTCGGTAATTTTTTTCTCGGTATCACTCATGTTTTTGTTGATAGAAAATTTCTCTCGTCTTCGACTCGGGATAATTTTCCATCAACAAAAGCATTCGTGACCTTGAAAAAAATTATCGGTGAGTTCTGCTGCTAGGGAGATTATCAGTGATAATTCCACTAATGTTGGTATGGATAACAAGTAGGTTTTACCTGATTGAATTTCTTCAAATGGCTTGTCTGATTGATTATTATTGTTGATAGATAGAATGCTGAATTTCACACCATTAATTGAAGAGCTTGCAGACAGGATTGAACTATTGATAATGCATATTTGAACATGTTTTCCTCTGAAACTGTTTTCTGAATGAAATATATAGAGAAAAAATCAGAATCATTGGTCCACTCTGTGAGAGATACAATATACCGATATATTTCGGTAAGGATATTATATTTCCAGGGTAAAATTGAAACCTTCTTCTACAAGCCCTTCAATTTATGGTTTTGCCACTCACCTTGTATATATTCACTCATAATGTAATTTTTTCAAGCAAAGTGGATCAGTTCAATTGTTTGCTGATTATGAAAAATCTTTGGGTAATTACCTCATGGATGTTGATGGAAACGCTTTTTTGGACGTCTACATGCAGATTTCTTCAATTCCAATTGGATACAATCATCCGGAGATGCTGAAAGTATTCAAAGATGAAAATAATTTGGTAAGATATACAAGGAACAGATCTTGCTGCGAATTATTATGGATATGGATATCATGGAAATAAAAAATATTATTATAAATATATGGATATTATGGAAATACAACATATTATTATTATTATAGCTGAAATCAATCGATTTAAAGAACTCGTTATTTTAGCTATCGGTTTGTTTCCATATTATCGTCACATATACAAGTTTTCATGAAAAAGAAAAAATCATTGATCAAATTTGAAGGACTCGTGTTATTCTCTTTGATAATGGGGGAGACCACTGGTTTTTTAAAACGACATTACGTGAACTCTATAATGAAAAACTGCCAGCGAATTTATTTTGAATTTTCTCATTCATGCTAAGACGATGAAAAAAATAAATTAGAATATGTCCATTTCAAAATACACAATTCCTGTGCCATTTGAGATTTTGTCAATTCATTGGTGTGACTGGTGCGACGTCTTAGTCCCATCACGCCTATTGTCCTTGAACTGACCAATCACACTGCAACACTGCAGAATGACGAGGTATCAGAGAGAGAGCTACAGCTCGGGACTAATACGTCACGGCTCCACCATCATATTTGGCTGTTTGAAATATCGAATGAAATATGCTGATTTCAAAACGATATAGATTCGATTTCCTTCAACTTCAACTCATAATATTGCTTGTACATCAAACGTGAATCATGATTTGTGGATTGAAAGAAGTTTGCACGGATTTCTTCTCTCAGTGGTCTTCCCCATTCATTGGAATAGTCTTACATCATTCTGGAACGATTTTTATGAAGTTTATTGAAATGTTCATTGAAAATGTGCGGGGTCCTTTCTCAGCCAATTGAAAATCTCTTATAAACACTCTACATTTGTATATACAGAGAAGTGCACAAAAACTGCCAGGACTGTAACTTTTGAATTATTCGAGATACGGTTTTGAAAATTGGTGGGCAGCTATCACTTCCGGTTTTAGTGGAACCGACCCAAACTCTTGATTTTTAAATAGGACACCCTGTACTGTATTCCAAAATCGGTTAAGGATTGTCATAACAAATTCATCGATACCGGGTTTGATAGGGTTATTTCAAACGATTACGCATATATTCGCATTCTAAGTTTCCATATGCTCTATGTGTGTGACAGATAAAAAAGTTTTGACATAACGAAGTCATACACATTGAGCATATTATGGAAAACTTCGAACGCAAATATCTTCGTAATCGTTTGAAAGAACACTATCGAACCCGATATCGTTGAATTCGTCCCGAAAATCCCTAACCGATTATGGAATACAATACAGGGTGTCCTATTTTAAAATCAAAAGGTGGGGTCGTTTCCGGTGATACTGAAAGTGATAGAAGGAACATTGTTTCATCAACTAATGAGCAATTTGGTATACTTGCCAGCCACCAATTTCCAAAGCCCTATCTAGAATAATTCAAAAGTAACAATCCTAGCAATTTTTTGTGCACTTCCCTGTATATATAAGGTGTCCCGAAATCATGAAGAAAGATTCCAACTACAGACTCTATCCCAGCGAGCACAAAAATATCTCAGATATGTTAAAAGTACGAGATTTCGAGACATTGAACCTCCACTGCGATGTTCTGTTCACACATGAATAGAACTATTATAGAACAGCCAATGTCCGCCGCAGGCAGGCGAGATGTCCTTGATATGTCACAAAACAACCTTCTCCCTAGTTCTTTTTAAAACCTTTTCATGGACACAACAAAACATTTTGAACGCGTCTTGCGCACATTAAATCGCTGTAAAAAAACATTTTCGAGGTACTTTTCTGAAGCCTTTTGTCAAAATGAACTTTTGCATTAGGATTCCATTTCCCTTGAATGAAAAAATGCATTAAAAATAGATTGAACATAAAAATATTTTCTTGATATGAGTTTCTGAGTAGTGCATACTACACACAGACATATAGAAATAGGTTTCCCAATTTTTGAAATGTTCTCCACAATGCATAATTTTGCAACTGCGGAGAAGCTGTGTATTGATAAATTCGTACTTTTATAAATTGATTACACTGAGGCACCGAACAACACATCTTGCATCTGATGGTCATTATTACAAACTCAATAAGTCTTCTAACACAATGAACTTCACCAATATCCTTTCTGTTCGTTAGCAGCGTGATGTAAGCGTGACACGCTGCAAACACGAATGCCAATTGCGAACAAGAAGAACAAAATCGAAAACAAATCAGAATTCATCGTATTGTGACGTAAGCATGAGACGTTGTGGTGGGGCAAACGAAGAAAGGGCACAAAAGAACAAAAACAAATACTTTCAATATCCTTCTAAGACCTCTTTGGGAAGTGCATATTACGCCTCAAAAAAACATCCTCTTGCCTACATTTCTAAAACATCCCAAAACATCCCAGGGATACCTCTCAGTAGGCAAACAAAGAAATGCCACAGAAGAACAAAAACAATACTTCAATATCCTTCAAAGACCTCTTTGGTCAGTGCATATTACGTCTCAAAATAACATATTCATGCCAACATTTACAAAACATCCCAAAACATCCCAGGGATGTTTGTGCTCGCTGGGAGGAACTAGAACAGTAAAAAAACTTCAGATAAACAATAAGAGCCCAGAAATGGATTCGAGATGATGGTTTTTTGTAAATATTTCCGAAACTCTATGTGTTGATATAACTAAATTTCGTACATGTATATTACTTTTCATGCCCGATTTGAAAATGTTGAGATCTTTCCGAAATTTTGATCAGGGGCGTGGGATAAAGGTGGGGCTAGGGGCGTATCTTCTCGCAACTTTTTTTCTATGCAATTTTTGGCAGGTTGACCAGGAAATACGAGAATATCATAATTTCAATATCACTTAGGGAATTGCTGTATGTAGATATTCATTCATATTCGTCAAGTGTGCCATGAATAGCCATGATGCATAATATTTTGCAGTTATTTTTTTTGAGTCCTCTTTGGAAAACAAAACACTCAGGAAATATATGGCAGTGACATAAACCTCATATGCAGACAGTAAAAGTCTCTTTCTCCTGTGACGGGAAAAAAGTTTGGCATTTCATCTCTGTTGGCAGGTTATAAAATGTCACTTTTCATAAATTACTTTTTTCCGTGAGAAAAAAGTGGCTACTTTTTTCCCGGATATATATCACATACATATACACTGTTGATGGCTTTTGTTGTTCTATAGTTCGGAAAAATGAGTCTATAATACCGTCTCCAAGGAAGAACTACAAGTCCTTTTATCTTCCATTCGATTTCGCGGTTAAGTATATTACTAAACAACCACTAAGTTCGCAATTTTTTGAAATCAAATCACAGAATTAGACTGACAGAAGTGACATCAGGTATTTGATTACTTCAAAAGAATGATAAAGATGCCTAAAACGCAGGTGTCCCTACTGTTAAAAACTTCCAATTTCACGGTGATAATGTTCTGATTTCAATATAATGTAATATCTTCTCAATATTGAATCGTCCTTTTTTCTGTCACAGAAAGAATAGTGTATCATAAACGGGAAAAATATTAGATTTCAGCTCACGGTGTTTTGTCTCCCTCCTCTATGCCTCGGGAGACAACACAACCTGGAGCTAAAATCTACTCCTTTTTTCCTTGTATAATAAATAAATAAATATTCGGTCAAAACGATGTATAATCAGAGTGGAAAGTAGATACCTGTGAGTTTTGTTCTTCAAAAAAAAATTCTCACATACCCATATTGAATTTCATTTTGATACACCGAATCTCCTAGAATTTATGACTTGTCTAATAGATCTAATTGTTTTTAATCTTTCTATTATTCAATTACCTATTCACTTTCCTATCTTTTAGAAAGCTCTTGTCAACCGTCCAGCTCTTGGTTCGTTCCCAGGCGAACACTGGCCAAACAAATTGAGAGACGTTCTCCTCTCCATTTCTCCAGGTCTTCCCAATGTTATGACGATGATGTGCGGATCATGTTCGAACGAGAACGCATACAAATGTCTTTTCATAGCCTACCAAAAACATCAAAGAGGTTAGCAAGTAATGTTATGTTTATTATGCAATGTCAGTTAAGATATTGTAGTAGGAGAGCCATGCTGCAAATGTTTACCGTCATCTGATTACGAAATGATATGTATCCCAAAGGAAAGTGAAAACATTGTAGTTCATCGAACTGCACCTGTGCCAATCGCTATCCTGAGCAAAATGATGAAAAATTGCACTTCCTGTGCGGAAATCTGCACTCGATTGCGCGATTTGATGACGATGACGAGATAGGAATTATGCCATCCAATACCAATTGAATGGTAGGTCTCAAAAACCTACCTGTGCCACCCCTCAGTCTGAGCCAAATCCATGGCACAGCGATTTATTTGCTCCTATTATTTCGGACCTACTTCCGTCATGTGATAACGAGTTGAAACAAAGGAAATGAAAGGGAAACATGTCCCTTTTGCGAATATCCAAATGAGCGCTATTCAAACTGATCTAAGTTAGGGTCCCTTGATGGAAATTGACAAAGTCATCTTAACAGGGTACGGACAGATCCTCGTCTCCTCTCACTCTAAAGTGTTTGTGAAACAGTTATATAGTTCCATCCTTATTCAATTCTGGGGATAAACACTAGATTTTTGACATTCGTTGTCTTTTAGGTTATATTGAGGTCACTGGCGTATCATACGTAATTTCCATATGGAATTCCTGATTCAACTATACCAAGATATAGATGAACACTGCTCTAGTTTCAGAGTTTACTACTCCAGCATAATCTTTGCGATTGAGGGAACATATGAATTGTACTGAAAGCTCAATATGGCTCAATATATTTCGCCAAAAGAGACTGTATACCAGGGTTGACTGAATTGACTGAATGAATTCTTATTTCAAGCTGAGCAGTAGTTTATCTATGAGCTGAATGAGCTGAGCCTTATGATTGAGAAATGGTGGAAACCTCGATGTGGGTATCTAGACTATTGAACTCATGTCATGTGTGCTAAATATATTTCCAGAAATCCAACTCAGAGAAGAATTTATGGAGTTACTATAATATCACACTATGTATGAAACTTCGTCTAGGACGAGAAGTCGACTGATAAAAATTAATACGTAAAATGTGCCGCAGGAAAATAAAGAATAGAATATACTTCACTTCCATGTTATACATATGATTTTTCCGTCTCTTTTAAATAAAAAGTCATTCTCGAATAATTTATTGAATATAATCGGATCATAATTACAAGTTTCGTTCGCCATATTGGATCCGCACTCTTGCATTTCCCAATTTCGACAAATAATCATAAAGTTCGACCACGAAAACCCTCAGATACCAATCTTAAATAGAATAAGATCATAATTAGAAATTTCTTTTGCTATAATATTGGATCCGTCATCTTGAATTTTCCAAGTTTGACGAAACAATCATCATCTCCAACCCCGGAAAACCCCACATATCTTCCAATTTTGAATAGAATCGGATCATATTTACAAAACTCGTTCGCCATTATGATCTTCCTCAACAAGTAAATACCCTGTACATACCTGTTATTAAAATTTTGAATGATTTTCTGGAGCGCCCATGAATGTGACGTGACAGCAATGTCAGAGATACCAGTAGACAAAACTAAAATCTCTAGATCATTAAAAAAGAATGCAGCTATGATCTGTCCGTACCCTGTTGAGATGACTTTAACGTCTATTTCCGTCAAGGGACCCTAATCTAAGTTAGTGGCAGAGCGTCAATATTTCCGTGAATATTTCACCCTCGTCGAAAGATACAATCCGATGGACCAATGTGAAACTAATGTGGTGCTCACACTACGAGTATTCTAATTCATATGTTGAGTTTTACACTGGTCCATCGGATATTATCTTCAGAGGTGGGCGAAATATTCTCGGAAGTATTGACGCTCTGTCACTAACTTAGATCAGTTTGAATCGCGGCACGTTTGGATGTTCGCAAAGATGACATCATCCCCTTTCATTTGTTTCTTGTTTCAACTTGTTATCTTATGACGGAAGTATATCCGGAATAATAGCAGCAAATAAATCGCTGTGCTGTGGATTTGGCTCAGACTGTGGGGTGGCACAGATCAGTTTTTGAAATCTACCATTCAATTGGTATCGGATGGCATAATTCTAATCTCGTTATCAAATCGCGAAATCGACTGCGAATTTCCGCACAGGAAAGTGCAATTTTTCAATCATATTCCTGAGGATAGTGATTGGCACAGGTGCCGTTCGACAAACTACAATGTTTTTACATGCCTTCGAGACATATACAGGGTGTTTCTCAAGTACGTGTAGAATATTCAGGAGCATGTTGCTGACGTCAAAATAAGAATAAAAGTTCGTATAAATATATGCACGAAAGTTATTCGTTTCTGAGATACAGAGTGTCAAAGTTGAATTCTTATTTTTGGTTTTTGTTAATTAATTACAAAATAATTGTGATATTCGAATAAAGTTTGGTATCTATAGGGGTATTTTTCAATGAGAATATCAAATGTCATGTTATTTTGTCTCTTTCGTGGGAGTGACGCCACCTACATGTCTTTTGAGTCTTCTGAAAAGTCATAACTTTTTTGTGAGTACTTGTATCACGTTTTATAGTAGAAAAATAGATAGAAATAGAAAAACTTTCGAACATATATTTATACGAACTGTTCTTCTTATTCTTATTGACGTCAGCAACATGCTCCTGAATTTTCTACACGTACTTTAGAAACACCCTGTATATCATTTCGTTATCAGATGACGGGCGAAATTTGCAGTCGGCTCATGGACTAAACTGCTGATCAATCGAACGTCATCAAGCACATTTTTGCTCTGAATTCAACATTGAATATTTTCGCGAAAATTACACTTAGTCGAATGCAGTTTCCTTTATTCTGAAGATTGATCCATTGGATATATGACAGATAGACCGCTGATGGAAATATATGGTAATCTCTGGCTATACAGGGTGACAAACAATCCTCTTCAAAATATTGAAGAATTCTCCGTACTCCCAATTCGATGGAAAATTTTCGAGAAATTTACAAGCATATTTTTATATTTCGCAAGCATATTCCTCGAAATGGTTTCGCAATTTTTCACTTATCTTCCCAGATTTTCGAGAAAAAGATTTTTCTTCAAAAAATGTAATAATTTGTACTACTGACCAGAAATATTCTTATTTGTAGCTCAACTATCACAGATTTTCTCTTGGATGAGCTATTGTGACCTTTATTGTATGGAATCTTATATATCACGTTTGAAGTTGAGATCGAATCCAATCGAAAATGTCAATCAACCGATAACTGCCATTGAAAAGGAATGGGAGGGCATTCCACATGAATTCATTGGGAGTTTGATAGAAAGTATGCCGCGAAGATGTGAAGAAGTGTTGAGGGTGCGAGGGGGACCTACGAAATACTGAACAATGATTCTTTTTTCATTTCAGTGCTTATTGTTCCATCATTTTCAATTAATACATCTCAGCTCTTGCATTGTTCCACTTTTTGAGTAAACAAAGTCGACATTTTCAAAATTTCTATTCAGAGGAATAAGCAGGTTATTGTGAATCACCTCGTTTATTCTACACTGAGCAACATTCCAATGATGGATATTTCACATACATTTTTGAACTCTCAAAGTTTCATTTTATAAAACTTTCATCAATCTTGGTATATCACCCTGTATATTCTTACTCCCGTTTTTTTCTTTGCAACTTCAAGGAAAATTGCTGTCATTCAATCTCGAACACTATACAAGATGATCAATGTGTTGTGCTCGGTCTTCGATCCTGTAATAATATCTATCAAATATTGTTGCCAAACACTCTGAATATAGACAATATAAGATTTCATATAATAAAGGTCACAAAAGCTCATCCAAGAGAAAATCTGTGATATTTGAGCTATAAATAAGAATATTTCTGGTCAGTAGTAGTCAAAAATTAAGTATCACATTTTTCGAAAACAAAAATCTTTTTCTGGAAAATCTGGAGTGATAAGAGAAAAATTGTGAAACCATTTCGAGGAAAATGCTCGAGAATTTTGAAAATATGCTTGAAAAAAATCTCGAAAATTTTCCATCAAATCGGGAGTATGGAGAATTTTTCAATATTTTGCAGAGGTTTGTATGTCAACCTGTATAGCCAATAGGTTATCATGTATTTTCATCAGCGGTCTATCTGTCATATATCCAAAGGAACAATTACAGAATAAAGAAAACCGCATCTGGATAAGTGGAATTTTCGCGAAAATATTCCATGTTGAATTTAGAGCAAGAATGTGCTTGATGCGGTTCGAAGGCTGCAACTTTTTCCCCATTCCACCGAATTCGGATTCCCTCGCGTTTCCGAGATCCCCATGCTTGCATCAACTGTATATTGGTCACATTGTATAAGAGAGCTCATTTTAGGGGAAAAGATAGACTTCAGCGACATAGAGAAAGAATCCTGCTTGATCAATGAAGCTCCAGGAGCCCCGAAACTGTCACTCCTGTCATTCTTCGGGGCCTTCCACGGTAGAACCATGGGAACGTTGAGTACTACTCATTCCAAGGCAATCCATAAGATCGACATCCCAGCTTTCGATTGGCCCATTGCTCCATTCCCCAAGTACAGGTATCCGTTGGAGGAAAACGCCAGGGAAAACCAAGCTGAAGATGCCAGATGTTTGGAGCAAGTTGAAGAATTGATAGAACAGTATAGAAAAAAAGGTCAGTATTATTTTATGATATACTTTTTCGTTTTCGAATACGATCGAAGGGTTAGAATAGGTGTTCTACTGAAATTGATTGGCCTTTTCCAATAGTAATTCAGAGAGCGTCATATGCAATTCAGACAATATCATTTGTAATTCAGATTACTCAATTGAAATTCAGAAAATATCAAATGTAATTCAGAATTGTCAATTGATATTCAGAATGCATCATTTGTAATTCAGATTAATCAACTGAAATTCAGAAAGCGTCAGTTAGAATTCAGAAAGCGTCAATTGAAATTCAGAAAGCGTCATTCATAATTCAGGATGTATCATTTCTAATTTATAATGGGTCAATTGTAATTCAGACTATGTCATCTGTAATTCAGAATAGTTGATTGAAATTCAGAAAGCATCATTTGTAATTCAGATTAGTCAATTGAATTTTAGAAAATATCAATTGTAATTCAGATTAGTAAATTGAAATTCAGAAAATATCAATTATTGTAATTTAGAAAACTTCATTTGTAATTCAGAAATATGGAATTGTGTTACCTTTGCATGCATATGCATGCATGATGTATAGTTATTTGAAGTTAGAATATTCGTTTCCAGGACAATAGGTTATACACATTAGGTAGGTACTTGTGATATAATGATGGAGTGTAGGTAGGTATGCATATGCAAAGGTAACACTGTTCCATATTTCTGAATTACAAGTTTTCTGAATTTCACTTGACTAATCTGAATTTCAATTGATTTTTTCTGAAATTCAAGTAACTTATCTGAATTACAAATTACATAGTCTGAATTATAATTGACGCATTCTGAATTACAAATGACGATATCTGAATTTCAATTGAAAAATCTGAATTACAACTGATATTTTCTAAATTTCAGTTGACGAATCTAAATTACAATTGATATTTTCTGAATTTCAATTGATTAATCCGAATTACATCTGACGTTTTCTGATTTCCAGTTGAGAAATCTGAATTACAATTGACGCTTTCTGGAATACATCTGAAAAAGGTGTAGTTGTACGCAGGATGATTCACTGTAGTGTATTAGAATTGACACTGCTGACATTGGCTTGTGTCATGATTGTGAGACATGTCTGTGATTACTTACTGTTCTGGGATTTTTGTCAAGTAGAATGAGTTGCAATGAATGGAAGTAAAACAATCTTCAGTCATCGTGAGTTTTATTGAATATTCAAATGTAGTACATAGCATTCACGTAGGCCACACATTAGAAGTTCTGCAACTTTGTATGCATATTATTTTATACGATTTGAGAGAGAATGTCAACTCTCAATTTTAGAGGATTTCCATTTTTCAATATCTCGATTTTGAACACCCTACATCTCTGTAATCATTTCCGATAGATCCCAAGTGTGATGTATCGATGAAATCAGCTCTTCAGGGAGGATCTAAAAATGCAATAAAATACAGGGTATTCCATTTGAAATAACAAAGTTGTTGCTACTATTTGATAGAAGCGGCAACACTGCATTGCTGAAAATATTTCAAATGAAAAGAGCGTATTTTAAAATATGAGCACGCCTATTTTCTTGGATTCCTTCCGACTGATTCTCGATATAGAGATAGTGTAAGCTCGTCGTGACATACCCTGTATAGGTACCCAGAATACCACAATAAAATTTTAAAATGCCTTCACCTGTATAATATGTAAATAAAGATTATTCCTCCTGGAATTCTTGAGAATTTATCATCGAAAGTGGAGATTATTCCGATTGATCATAAGGAGTCAGCTCGTCCCTAAGAACTTTTATTAGGTTGGCAGCCTATAGTTGCCGAATTACAATGGGCGTGTACACCTTAGTAGAACTTTTAACTCTAACCATGTTTATAATGATCATTTTATACATAAATAATGATTGACGACATAATTCGATCGGAAAATTAACTGAAATGTTTTATTTTTGGACATAAATAATAGTACCTTCTAAAAACGGACCCTTTTTATGACGTAGAAACCTCATCTCGCCATAGTTGAATGAAAATACCAAACGCCCGACGAGGACTGATGCAACTGATATATCAATTCTTTCAACTGTGATCTCGCGCTAATTCACTCTATCAGAAATCATGTATCATTCATCTCTGTCTGGAATAGTCTTGTTTCAGTATTAGGGTTTTGACGTCACATCATCGCCTCGTTTTCAGAGGTCCGAAAAATCGGGGATTTCAATATTTTTTTATAAAACGTAGGAAGCTCACAGCAAGAAACGGTTTGCGGTGGTGAGCTAGTTTGGATGAGTTCTATCGAATTATGAAATACAAATTTGTTGTGATATAAGCCCATTGCTTTGGGCCCTATAAATACCTACGTACTTTTTGTAGTAGTTAGAGAATATTTTTTTGTGTGAATATTCAAATTAGTCTCCAAAGCTTCAATTCTGAATTATTTAATTATTATTTTGTTTCTATAGGTGTTCCAGTAGCAGGTATAGTGATTGAACCGATTCAATCAGAAGGTGGAGACAATGAAGCATCGCCAGAATTCTTTCAGAAACTACAAAGGATAGCTAAAAAACACGGTAATATCTCTAATGAAAATTATTATTATACAGGGTGTTCCACAGGTAAAGGGAAATATTTCAGTGGTACATAGGGTTCACCAAGGTGGTTCTGAAAATACCATATTTGATAAGTCTTAGAGTCTTCATAACGGAGATACAGGGTGATTTATCGATTTCGTGATTGTTACTATATGAGAATTGGTGGCGGGAAAACAAAAAGCATAAAACCCAATTCAGTTTTTCCTCCTCTTCACAATTCTTTTGATGTACTGTGTTAATTATTAAATACAGTGTGTTATTTTAATATTTCGAATAAATGTAAAATTTTCCTGAAGCCGAACCTGGATTTTCACTCCGCCCGATAGGTGAATGAATTTAACGTCCCAAGTATAAGCTTCTCACCAAATTTGAGAAAAATATACTTGGTAGGTCGATACATATAGACGAATGAATAATTATTCGGAATCGATAAATCGACCTGTATCTCCGTTATGAGGACTCTAAGACCTATCAAATATGGTATTTTCAGAACCACCTTGGTAACCCCTATCTACCATTGAAATATTTCCCTTTACCTGTGAAACACCCTGTATAGGTATCTTGAAGCATATTATCGTTTTTTCTTTTCGTGACTACAAAAGTGGTAATAGGCATCAAAATAGTTACCAGAGTTGTATCAGTTCAATATAGGTACTACAATGAAAACAAGTACTTTTCATTATGGTACGATATTTAGTTTATAGAAACACGTACTTGAGAATAATTAAGTGGTCTATGTTTCTAGGTACTTATTCAAGTTGTTTGATATTTTATTTCAATTGCCATTCAATCATAACGCGTCAGAAATACCTATAAGTAAAAACATGTCAAGTACTGAAGAATTATCTTGTACACTGTACATCACCTGAAATGTGTGATAAAGCAAAAAGTGTCGGTGAAAATTCAGTTCCAACGAAATCAGAAAAATCTATGACCAATTATTCATGGACTGGAAAATTACAAAAGATCCCTCTTTTGGAAAATGTGTTTACTTTCAAATCTTGTTTTCATTTCATTATTTTTTACGGTGTGACGGGAAAATAGTTTATCATTTTATCTCTGTTGACAGGTTATAAAATGTCACTTTCCACAAATCACTTTTTTCCCACGGGACAAAAGTGAGTACTTTTTTCCCGGATTTATAGGTGCATTGTTCATGGTATTTGTTGTGCCAGTTCCGAAAAATGAGCCGAGAAGAACTACAAGTCCTTTTATCTTCCATTACACTTCGCGGTTACGTAATAGTATATTTCATTACGAATCTGGAAATAGTGTTTTTTCCGCGCGTGTGTGACAAATTCTCATGCAAGCACGGAAAAATAATTTCTGGACGTGTAATGAACGATACTTTTATTACACTTCGTTGAAAATCAATATATAAAAATAAAATATTACATAAAAGGGACACAAAAGAAACTTGGAGCATTTTTATTTACTGGTAATAAAATCGAGGTCGCTTATATCACTTACTCTAGTATGGGTGTAACTAAATAAGTGTAAAACATTTGAGGGGTTGAATCCTCATCGAAAAAAAGATGGGATCTTTCATATAAAGAAACTTCATTGGAGCATCCCATGTTGAGATACAGCCCCTTGAAGGGGGTACATAAATTTTGTTCAACAATTTTTTTCACAGGCACTTAAAAAGTTACAGTATTGAAATTGACCTGACATTTTGTACTACCAAAAAGACACTTAGCCAGTAATTTATTTGGTTTACCCCATGGTTGTAAGGGGTGGAAAACGCAACCTCTAAATTTTATTTTCAATGTAACTTTTTGTCCTATCATTTGTTTACCATTTGAAAATTTATTTCCGATAGCCTGTTTCATTCTAAACAAAAAATGTCCCTTGAATTTTTTGCCCAAAATAAACCAGTTGGCAGCGAAAAAATATTTTACAATCAACTACAGAGATACATCGTCATAAATGCGAACTGGATTTATTGTCATTTTGTAGTTACTACCTGCGTTAAATGATTAAAGGGATTAAACCATTGGGAAAACCAAATAAATTACTGGCTAAGTGTCTTTCTGGTAGTAGAAAATGTCAGGTTAATTTCAATACTGTAACTTTTTTAGTGCCTGTGAAAAAAATTGTTGAACAAATTTTATGTACCCCCTTCAAGGAACTGTATCTTAACATGGGAAGCTCCAATGAAGTTTCTTTATATGAAAGATTATATCTTTTTTTCGATGAGGAATCAGCCCCTTAAATGTTTTACACTTATTTAGTTACACCCTGTATTGTCGGGAATTTCGGCATTTTTTTCTGAGTTCATTTTGTCGGCATAAATTTGATTGACAGAGAATAAATAATGCTGACAATCCAGTGTTTATCTTACAATATCACTAATATAAGTAGATGAAAACAGGTTGATTTCAAAGAAGTGTAATAAAAATTACTAAACAACCACTAAGTTCGCAAGTTTCAAAATCAAATCACAGAATGAGAAGACTGACAGATATTTGATTACCTCAAAAGTATGATAAAGATGCCTATAATAATGTCGATAATTTTCTGATTTCAATATAATGTAATATCTTCTCAATATTGATTCGTACTTTTTCCTGTTACATAAAAAAACTGTGTATTATACACGGGAAAAATATTAGATTTTAGCTCACGGTTTTTTCTCTCCCTCCGCTACACGTCGAGAGAAAAGACAACCTCGAGCTAAAATATACCTACTATACTATTTTCCCTGGTTTGATAAATAACTATTATCGGTCGTAAAAAAGTTCATACCTATATATACTGTATAGAAACTGTGAAAATTGTTAAAGAGAAGAGAATTATAACTCTAAAGAAAAATGACTCAAATTTGGTGGTACAGTTTTTCCTACTTCCGGTCGAACCATTGGGTGGCATTGAAATAACTGCAAATATTTCAAACACTGAGAAAGCTCGACGTGTACTATCGAATGGCACTAATAAAAAAAATTCAGGGATCAAAATAAAATTTGAGGTTAGACCCCGTTTCCCACCCAAAGATCTACACTGTAGCAAATCTGACGTCACCTCGGTTCAAATTTCCATGCGGTAGGCACAATATCACGCGAAGTTGAATTATTTAAATTGTTTTAAAGTGGCGTACCTGATTTTTTTCTCGTATTTTGTCCAATTTTTGGGATAAAATTTCTCGTTAATTAGAAGAATCAGAAAAAGTCTGATATCATGGAAATATCCCATAGACTGTATTATACTAATGTGCTGAATATGTGCACTTATTTCCAAAATACCGTGTATAATCATCTGAATTGATTAATACCACAAAGGAAAACCAAAAGTCAGTGCCACACAAAGTGAAACCGAAAAGTGGAAAATTCAAATTATGAATAGATAATTTTTCGAAATAATGTTTGCCTCAATTTTCATTTAGGTGCTGGATTTTTGATTGATGAAGTACAAACGGGCGCTGGAGCGACAGGAAAGATGTGGTGCCATGAACATTTCAATCTTGATTCGCCCCCGGATATTGTCACTTTCAGTAAGAAAATGTTGACAGGAGGATTCTACCATGCACTGGATCAAAGGTAAACAATAGAAATTTCAGTAACGCCGTTCTGCACTATTAATATATAATGATGTTTGCCTTTTAAAAATATTCATACTGATGGTTTTTCATACCAGCCTGAATTTGGAAAGAATCACACGACTAATAGCTGATGTATAGAGGGGTTCCGTTAGAAGTGATACACGCTGTATACAACAATTAAGACAAAATAAAATGATGATTATTGTATAATTTATTTTCAACAAGATAAAAAACATCCGTTCAAAGTATCCAAATTATGAATGAATAATGAATATTACATGGAATTATAGTGTAGGTACCGAGTGATTCACCATAAATGTCCCCCCCTTTAGCTCACTTATTTTCGAACCGGTTCAAAAATTTGAAAAATCATCTGAAATGATTTTTCAGAAATTTTTTCCCGTTTAATCAGAAAATACAGGGTACTCCGAACAAACGATCTACAGAGAGTACTACTTGATTTTTTCGAATAGAACACCCTGTATTTCATTGTATTTTCAGATTCTCCCTAAAGAGCTGATTTCATCAATACATCACACTTGGGGTCTAGCGGGAATGATTAGAGAGATATCGGGTGTTCAAAATCGAGATTTTTCAACTTAAGGATTTGTTTGTGTCGAAACTATTCATTATTGGTCAAAACGGCTTTAATGTTCCTATCTCAACTTTTGATTTACTATCTACTGACATTTAATCGCAATATATACAGTGTGGTTCAAGATTCAGAATTCTCATCACCCTGTAAGCCGTTTTGATCGATGATGAATAGTTTCGTCACAAGAAAAAACCTAAAGTTGAAAAATCTCGATTTTGAACATCCTATATATCTCTTTAATAATATTCGCTAGACCCCAAATAATATGATACATTGATGAAATCAGATCTTAAGGGAGAATCAAAAAATACAATGAAAAATAGGGTGTTCCATTAAAAAAAATCAGATAATACCCTGTAGATCGTTTGTTCCGAGTATTTTCTGATGTAGCGGAAAAAAAAACTCTATCGAAAATCATTTTAGATAATATTTAAAATTTTGCAATCGGTTCAAAAATAACTGAGCTAGAGGGGGGCGGGCACTAATGGTGAATCACCATGTACTATCCAAATAACTATTTACTTAAATTGACTTGACATCTTTTTGCTTCATCTATATTTTTCAAGTAGTTGGGTAATAAGTTATATAAAATTATTCCACTTCGGAATATCGATTGTTTGTCAAAATGTTAATTACAATTATTTGCTTTCAAGAAATGTAGTTGAATTAGATTAGAATGATAAGAAATTTTTAGTTGTCTCATTAGTTGTCTCAAACGTAAATCGATATCAAATATTGCAAATTTGAGTTAATGAGACACAAATAAATACCTACTTTTAGAATAGTGAGGGACCTCATGAAGCAGATATAGTTGTCAAATATTTGAAATATTTTCACTTAACTTTACACCTAGAAGCTTGATAGGATAACTTGAAAAGCAGGTTGTTATAGCAACATATAGGTATTCAAACTTCTGATTTTGGCTACAGCTATTGAGCTATACAATTTCAGGGCCGAATCTTCGCGAATTAAGGTTACATAAATTTGTTCTTATAAAATTTGCTCACGTGAATATGATCCATCACTTCAGATATATTGAAAGGGCAAGCAACTAACGGAAACAGCTTACCTCAAATCAATGTAAGATGATTGTGAACATAAGCAGACTCAATTCTATTAGGTGCGTTCGGTTTAACAAAATCGGAGCCGAGCGAGCAGATACAGATTTGGTGTCACGTGATCACCTAGCAGATAGAGCTAAAGATATTTAACGAACGCTCAACGAGGTAGTAGATTGCAGATTGCAGAAGTAACACAAAACAGAAACAATTCACCTAACCTTATTACTTTTAAAAACACTTCAGGGCAACAAAGTTTTTTTGAATGTTTGTTGTTTATATTTTGAAAATTACTAGGGAATGAATGATTCTGTCTAATATGATCGGTCATTAACTGTGGATCCAGGGCAGTTGTGATCGCATATATTACAGATATATAATTAATATGCTACCTACAGCAAATTCGTCGGTCATTCTGGCGATTCTGGGCAATGAGGATTCTACAAAATTCAGTTTTGTGTTTCGTTTCCAGTTGATCGAGTCTTCAATTTTTCGTCATAAAAGAGATATAATTTCAATAACATGTTGTTGACATTGATTTGTTGACAATTGACAACCGAATAACCGATCAAATCTGAATGATCTGCTCCTCAAGGCGGAGCAAACAGATTACATCTTTCAGCTCGCTCTGACAATTAACGAACACGGAGCAGATTAGACAGAGGAAGTAGATCTGATTTATCGAACGCTTTCCGAGCTAACAGATGGAATCGAGCTAACAGATATGTTATAACCGAACGCACCTATTGTTCAATTGGAGCTAACATATTTTGATTGTCCACCAGATAGCGCTACTGAGGCGTGAGCTCGAGGTTGGTTTATCTGATAGGTTCACTTCTTCTTTTCGTTTCATTTGGTCACTTCTACATTTTCACATTGGGAGTAAAAGACGCAAGCCTACTGAAGTCTAACAATGAACACACAAAGATTATATACACACTCTAGATAGACACCGTAAATGTAAGAATGGGCAACGCTGCTGAGTTGGGACGTAACAGAGCGAGGGGAAATCTGCTTTGCGCATATATATATTCATAAATTCGCCGTGTATATCACCGACTCCGATATTAATATTTGTACAGTTGTGTGAACAAACGAGTCGTACAGCAGTTATATAGGCTATTGTGAGTCAGGCTTGTCAATCTTGATTAATTTTCTTATCGACTTTGACAAGTGTATAGTTTCAAAATTCAAACTATTTTTGCCAGTAACGCGCAAATGTGTACGTGTACAGGTACGCCATACAAACCTTGTTCATGCACACGAATACAACGAATCAGCACAGCCGATTACTGATTAGCCGCCGGTCTGTTACGTCCTATCCTATCCTAAACATTTTCACAATACAAGATGTATAAACAAAAATCGTCTGAAGGAGACATTGGCAGGCCTCGCCGATGATTTTTGTGTAACAACCCTGGTGACAGTCATGACCCAGATAACACGAAGACGTCCTGTGTACGTCCGGAGGACGTACATCTGGGACGTACAAGACGTCCTGAAGACGTCCAGTGTCGGTCGAAGACGTCCACAGGACGTATTGGGGACGTCCGATGTTACAAGATGGAACGTCCCAGGGACGTCCATATTAAGTCCAAGTTTGGTATTTCATCGCCATGAATACCATAACCAACGTAGATTCGCCTTTTTTTACTCAGATAGATAAACAAGACATTTATACAGAGTAAAAAAATATTATTTTGAATAAAAAAATTAAAAAAATCCTTCCTACTGAGGGATCGATCCGCGACCTCTGATTTACCGAGCAGATGCTTTACCAACAACTCTACACGACACTTATTGAATATAAGACTTACCTTTGTTCAACATATGCGAGTATAAGATGGAAACGTAAACATTGAGTGCAGAAACACTCCACCAGCTCATTTCAATGGAATTCGCTATGAATCAGTATAAAGACCAGGACGTAAGACAATATGTGTACATAATTTCATCTTTAAGTATATCCTACGAAATCTCTGAATCCAATAAAGAGGTAACACTCTGCGAACATTGCCAGATTTACTTCAATTTCTCCACATTGGTCACAAAAAATCACGTGATTCATTGTGACCTATTATCGAATTGATCGGCAGCCATTAATAAGGGCCCTTATTCCTTCTCCATTTGATCACATCTGGCAATGTTTTATTGTTATTGGAGAATATAATAAATATAGAGCGAATAATGAATATTGAAAAAATGAAGACTAAAAATGGACGTCCTGAAAACGTACGCTCTGTACGTCCCGAAGACGTACGGCATGGTACGTTCTGAGGACGTCCATATTAGGTTCCGGGACGTACGGACCCGAATCGGACGTAATATGTACGTCCCCGGGACGTCGTGTGCTATCTGGGGAGGGAGCTGACTCCTAGGAGTATACCTTCAATCCAGCTCATGTCAGTGAGTTGCCCAGGGCAAAAAAGATTGATCGTCGATTGCTACCTTGTTCTCCCAAATTTAGAATTTTATATATATATATTAAATAAAAATAACAAAAACAACTTTTAAAAATTCTCTATGAAAGACTCTATGAGGTATGAGTGGTGGGATAGGTGTGGGAGAGTGATTGGGATCTAACAGACTGATTTCGTATCGGCAAATAGACTAGTTTTGTTAGCCGATAGGCGTGCTAAGTTGTCTGGGTCCTGCTTCATGGTAATGCTCCGATAGTCGTTCAGCCGGGCCACATACCGTTTAGTCTATACGGCTTGGCCAAACGACTACCGTTCTCGTTCAATTCAGCTTCTCAGCTGTTTGTTGTCTAGAGTCAGTTCCCTGGAGACATCGCTGGCCTCATATACCAGCCCATGGTTCCTACGGATGTCATGATATGCCCTTATTCTCGTTATATCTCTCGTGAGTTCGCTATTCTGAATGTGATGTTTATAAAATTTATTTGATACGTTAATGATGTTATCTTTGATGAGCATTGAGCATTTATGTCAGCCACTCGAGTGTATATATTACCGTTAGTAATGATTCGGAGTACCTTGATCTGTAGCACCTGTATAGCCTACTCAGTTGAGTGGCGGAGGCGCTACAGTACACCGGACAAGCGTTTGTAATCACAGGTCTTATCACTTGCTTGTACAAGAGCAGTTTGTTATCTATATTGTTAGTACGGAATTCCTGACCAACAATGGATACAACTGTTTTATGGCTGCATGGCATTCACCAATTAATTTGGTGATGTTATCTCTGAAGCACATATATACGCTTGTCCAGCACTACTCCCAGGTATTTCACTGAGGTGTTGACCGTCACCCTTGCGACTTTGACAAGCAAAGGCCCGTTGGTATATTTTTCAGTGAGATTCATCAACTCAGTCTTCTCATGATTGACAAGGATCTTTGCATTGTCAAAATACGGTATGATTTTCCTGTCCAGATGGATCTGGATCTGAGTCCTGGCGACGTCTGAACAATACGAATGTGCGTATACTACCGTGTCATCGGCGTACAGTGCAGTACTCGTACGTTGAAACACAGGAAAATCATAGTATATAAAGAGTACAACAAGGGTGACAAACACAACCCCCGTGGAACACCTGCCCCGGGTGGCTGACTTGTTGAAATTGAAATTGTATTATTAATTTTGACTTTTATCTTCCTATGGGCTAAATACGGGTCCACGATCTTAACAATAAATATCGGCAGACCTGCCTCAACCATCTTGGATATAAAACCTTCATGCCATACCGTATCGAAGGCTTTCTCGATATCCATCAGAACCATAACCGTGTTCTTATCCTTATTAAAGGCTTCTTTGATCCCGTGAGCAATTCGGGCAACTTGGGACGATGTGCTATATATGCCCCTTTCGAAACCCGAATTGCTCAGGAGGAAACACACTCAGGTCTCCGGCAAGAGTGTCGATCATATAAAGGAGGGTCCTATCCTTATAGCTATCATGCTGAGCAGCGATATCGGACGGTAGCTGCTTGGCAATGTAGGGTTTTTGTCAGGCTTAAGTTTGGGATCACCTCGGGATCACCAACCCCGTCTTCAGGGACTCTGGGTAGTGCTGGTGTCTAATAATGGCATTTACTATGTAGTGCAATTGCACCATCGTTTTGCGCGGTAAATTTTTCAGGAGAATAGTGTCAATCTCGTCGAGTCCTGGTGCCTTGTTGAGATTTAATCTCGTCATAATGCCTCAAACTTTTGAAGGGGTTGTGAGATATTTCTCCAGAACTCGATGGGACAATGGAACGCCCGGTAGGTTCCTTACTCTATCTGCTGTTCAAGAAGAAGAAGAAAGTCTTTATTGTACTAAAAACCTAAAGTTTTTGTTGACAAAGCATGTGTATCATAAGCTATAACTAATATTAAAACTACATAAAATCATGTAAAATATGCACATATATAAGGAACAAAACATTTAAGTCGAACATATACTAGTAAAAGTCACACTATAAAAAAAGGTATTGAACAATTAAAAACGAATTATACAAACTGACAAACTTAATTAAATGCGTCTTCATAAAATTCTTGCAAGGTATAATAGGCTTTATTCAGTAGTAGCTCTTTTACTGCCTTTCTAAACTTAATATGTGTTAGCAATGAACGAATATGTGAAGGCAGGTGATTAAACATTTTTTTGGCATTATAAATAAAAGACTTTTTTATTAATGTACTTCTAGGAATTAGTAGGGAAACCGTACAGTCAACATTTCTTGTGTTGTATACCGACATCGAATGAATGTTCGTGGTATATTTTTTGTGGATCATACATACACTCTCTAGAATGAAGATGCAAGTCAATGTCAGTATTTTCTGAGCCAAAAATAAGGGTTTACATGGTTCTCTGAATTTAGCTTTACTAAGGTATCTGACCGCCCTCTTTTGTAAAATGAACACAGAGTTCAAAAGAAATTGAGAACTATTCCCCCAAAAACAAACTCCATATCTCAAAATTGAGTCAATCAGGGCAAAATAAACTGATCTTGCTGCAGATATATTCAATTCAGATGAGATGACTCTTACTGCAAAACAACCAGAAGATAATTTTCTGCATAAATTTGTAATGTGGGTGTTGAATGAGAGACTGTCATCCACATAGAGCCCTAAAAACTTAGCCGAGGATTGAGTACAAATTCTTGAGTTTTCCAGAAGTATATCATTAAGAGTGCACTTGAACGTCAAAATACATGTTTTAGAAATATTGAATGATAACTCATTCGCATCACACCAATTTTTTACTTCCAATATATCTTCAGCGACATAGTTACTCAGTTCGTCATTATTGTTGCTATGCCACAGTATTGTGGTGTCATCTGCGAACATAGTAAACTTTCCTCTAATAGTGATATTTGCTAGGTCATTTATATATATTAAAAATAAGATTGGTCCAAGCACAGATCCTTGAGGGACCCCACACTTCACTACCTGAGACCTGGACTTTATTTTGTTAAGCGAGACTATTTGAGTACGCTCTGAGGTATGATTGGAACCATCTTAGTGTAATATCTCTAAAGCCATAAATTTCTAATTTTTGAAGCAAAATTTCACGATCAACACAGTCGAATGCTTTTGAAAGGTCGCAAAAAACTGCTGCAACTGCGTCACCATCGTTTATGTTGATATATATATCCTCTAATAAAGCAAACATAGCATCATTTGTATTTTTAGCTGTTTGAAAACCGAACTGGTAGGTGCTTAGAGTGCGATTATGAAGCAAAAATGAGAACATTCTTTTTTTAACTAATTTTTCAACTAACTTAGCCAGAGTTGGTAAAAGTGAAATTGGTCTCAGATTTGATACTATGTCGCAGTCTCCTCCCTTAGGTAAAGGACTTATTATGGCTATCTTGAGACAGTTCGGGAAAATCCCACTCAGAAATGATTTATTGATTGCCTCTGCTAAAACAGTCATAGCATCATCTGGTAGATGGAGTAAGACATTAGCTGAGATCTCATCCCATCCAAAAGTATGTTTATTTTTAAAATCCTTCAATATTTCTTTCAGTTCATCAGGACTAGTGGGTGAGAAGAAAAAGGAGTCTTTCACAGATAAATTCTTCATGTAGGAGATTATTGGGTCCTCTTGTGCTCTTATATCCATAGAAATGGTTTCAGCGATAGAACAATAATAATCGTTAATTTGATCTGCAGACAGAGTAGTATTTAAGGGTGGTTTACTATTTTTCCCTCTGAGATTATTGATAATAGCCCAGCTCTCTTTACATTTATTGGTGGAATTGTCCATTCTTTTTCCAAAATATTGTTGTTTGGCTGCTTTTAAGACATTTCTATATATTCTCCTGTAATTCTAATAATCTCTTCCTGTTAGATATTTTCTGGGTTTTTATTGGTTTGGCTCATTGTTTTGTATTAACTCCCAAGCGCTTCCGCCTTTTGTGGATCTGTCGCATCGCTTCCCCAGTACAACGCTCCAATTTTTACACAGGCGTTATCTGGTGTGTGTATAATCTTTGCCAAACATCTAGTTTTTTATTTGTTTACCTCGCCCAGATCATTTTCTCAGAAAGTTTTCGTAAAAACAGGCCTGCCCTCAGGGCTATCAAACAAAATCTTGGAACTTTTGAAATTGATTTCACGCTCTAATAACGGCAACTGGTGAGAGTGTAGATATAAGCTATCATTGAAAGGAAATTATCTATCAAAACTGAAAATTTTATTTTACTAGACCACAGCAGCCCTACAGAGTATATAACACCTGGCTAGGGGATCCAGGAAAGCTGCTTCTGTTAGAGTCTTTCTTGAAAGTCCTGAAGCAACAGAACCTATTAGACCAAGTGAACAGGAGTGGTGCAATATTGAAATCTGGATTGCTGGAACTCGAAAAAGATTTCCCATTCCTGTTGAATTCAGTTAGGGGAAGAGGAACCTTCTTAGCTGTCAATGCTGCCTCACCCTCCTTGAGAGATCAGATGGTAGCTGGACTGAAGAAAAAAGGTAAGGAATTCCAGTACGGAAAATACCAATTTGATCTAATTATTACATATACTGCTGTCTCACTTATGTTGCTGTCACGCAGTTTCTTTGTGATGTCGAAACCTGGACCTGATGCTTGGTAACTATTCGACGTGTAGACGATGTTGCTAAATGACGTTGTAACGACGTCGCTAAATGACGTCGTTTCGATGTGACCTATTGACGTCACATTTACGTCTCTTTCACGTCGATAATTTGGTCATCTTGACGTAATTGGTGACGTATATATGACGTGAAGTTGACGTGTGAATGCTAGCTGGGTAGTCTTTATTTGAAAAAAATAACCTTATCCTTATACAAATTTATAGAACTCGTTTATTGATACAAACAGGCGCCATAAAAACAACTAACTCAGACAACTGAGGTACGTTCATACAATATGAAATATTTACCCTTAAATTATTGTGTAGTTTTCCAACTCCGAATCTAGATATTCACTCGTCGTGTATGGTTCCAAAGATATCAGAAGTTGTATATATATGTATGGGGTAATAATAATTAGAATATCTGGTGTTATAATTATTTTGTGGTATGTAGTCTGTAAAGTAATGTTCGTTTTTAAACAAGTGCAGAATACATTCTTGGATGTATACTCCTACTACTGTTAGTATTTTGGCAGAACGTAACTTAACCCTGCATGACTATATGATAATTCTTTTTTGGGTCAAAAATATTTGCTCTATGTATCCCACTATACGCCTCCATAAAATAAAACACCATATCTGAAACAGGATTCAAAATTGGCATGATACAATAACTTTATGAGCATACATATATCACCATATTTAGAAAGTATTCTGAATGCGTAACATATTTTACTAAGTTTGCTTGAAAATAAAGTTACATGGATATTCCAATTTAACAAGCAATCAATGTGCATACCTAAAAATTTAGTACTCTGTACCATTTCGACATTATGATTATTCACTACAATGTGTAAGTTTCGACTAGAACTTCTAGTAGAAAACAGCGTTAGTTTAATCTTCATCAACAAATTGTTCATTTTCTGCAAACCAGTGACTGATCTTTTTGAAAATTGAATTAGCGTTTCTTTCAAGAGGTGGAAATGTTTTTTTCAGAAATCAAAATGTTAGTGTCTTCTGCGTAGTTAACCATTTTACAAGGATGAGAGGTCAGAATGTCGAAGACATCGTTAAGATAGACTATAAAAAGAATTGGACCTGTGATGCTACCTTGGGGTGCCCCTATATTATTAGTACTTATTTGCGATGCACCAACCTCATTACTTTTCTGTATTACTACTTTCTGTTTTCTATCGGAAAGGTATGAATCAAACCATATGACTTTCCTCGAACCCCATGCGAGCTTCTAATTTACTCAATATATATGTAGTTGATATATACTGTCCCATTCTTTCCTTCGAATGCTGAGCATGAAATTATCAATGTTGTTCTGTGAAAATATTCTTTTGTATATAGATTTCTTTCCAGTTTCATTTTGATATGGAATTAAGAGTATTATAGTGGAGTGATCTGAAATGTGAGAGTGCAAGACTTCACTTTCGACATTATCTAAGTTTGTTAGGAAATTATCTACACATGACTTTGTATTGGCTGTGATTCGAGTGTGTACTGTATGTTGAAGTCGCCTGCTATGACAATATATGCATAATATATATGTGGGTTTATAGGAAAATTATTTCAAGTTCATCATAGAGACGTTTTTTTTTCAGGAATTATGAGCGGAGGATGTGGAGACCATTCAATAAGATTGAGGCCTGCTCTGACATTCCAGGAGCACCACGCCAATATTTTCTTGGATCGACTAAGGCAGCTATTGACTGAAATCAAATGAAACGTCCTTAGCGAAAGAATCGGCAACTATTTCACAGAGATGAAGCAGATTTGAACTTCATTCAAATATATCCAATCAAGACCATGTGCCTTTATCTATGAGTCACCTATCTATAGATATTTCATGTTATTATCATCTTCATACTGTAAAGGGTGCGCAAATTTCAATGTTTGTATTGTAACTTGGTAAATATAGGATAAAGTTGGATTTTTCAAATAGGAAACATAGTTGGCTGTGGCTTAGTTGAAACTTTTTTTCCCTTTCTATGTGCATACAATGATGTTTGTACAACCATTTTAGTTTGTAGGTATATGAAACAATGTTTGATGATTTCCGAAAAGTATATTAATCTCCTTCCTCTTTCATCCAACAATTTTTCAACAATAACAAAATCTCATAAATTGTAACTGTTCGGATGAATAAAAAATAAAGACGTGAGAACAGTTTTTTCGAATTTCCCCCCAACACTCTCACTTATGACTGTTTTTGGCCGCTAGGGTGTATACTGTGTTTTTGGTTATCTGCCGTTTTTGAGAGAACTGCTGGGCCTACCATTCTAGTCTCAAATGAAAGCTTATAAAATTTTCAGAATTTTCATTTCATAATATTTTTGACGTGGGACCATATATGACCGACCCTAGAGGTAAACTATTAAAAAACCACTTCACTTTTCTGTGAAACATTGAAACACAACCTCACTTTTTTAATTGTTTACAGAGGAATTGGAGGATTGAAATAATTGTGCACAATAGTTTGGCATACGAATGGTGTTTTTTGCGCTATTCATTAATCCGAGCATGCCTTCTCATTGTGCTGTTGTACAATGCACAAAAAATGCATTAAGAGACGAAGGAATATGATTTTTCAGGTCAATAGTAATATCACATAGTTTTTATTATGAAATTTTATCATTTCTTATCAAAATTCCTTCTGCCACTTCTGCAATAGAAGCTAATACTGCTAATAGATTGAAAATGGCTACAACACACACGATCATATTTCGTCAGAATGTCAGACCAGTCCTCCCGTTTCATTGCATGAATTCAATCTTCTTGCATTCTTTCAAAAATTTCACGAGTATTTCTATCAGCTCCTATTGCAGAAGGGATTTCGATGAGAAATCAGGGAAATTACCAAATTTAAAAATAAAAACTACATGTGAGTGTGTTGAAGATTTATATTTATCGAATCCCTTTGTATATATAATCCCTTTGTATTATGTTCGCGATGTTTGATATTTGTTGTTATGGATATAGTAATATAGCTGAATGGAGTGTGAGTGCACCATTTATTAGCCAGCTAGCCTATTAGCCCTTATAAGCCCTTTATAAGCCTACGAATTGCCAAATCACCTACATTTCTGGTCATTGAATCCCTTTGTATATATAATCCCTTTGTATTATGTTCGCGATGTTTGATATTATTGTTGTTATGGATATAGTAATATAGATGAATTGAGTGTGAGTGCACCATTTATTAGCCAGCTAGCCTATTAGCCCTTATAAGCCCTTTATAAGCCTACGAATTGCCAAATCACCTACATTTCTGGTCCTTCGACGCTTTGAGCCTTCAAGAATAATTCCGTAAGTGGAAAACAGTCCGAAGAAGAAATTGAAAAATTTTGAAATATATTTGACACGAGTCAAGAAATTATTTTTTCAAATGTCATCCAAAAATGAAAAACAGAGTTCTCATGTCAGCGAATTTAGAGGATTCGAGCAAAAATCCAGAACAGCCAAATCAAAAGCTATTTCATCTAAGAAATCACATCTCGAAAGAGAAGCCAAGAAAGCAGAATTAGAAATAGAGACCAAGAAACTGGAATTAGAAATACACAAACTGAAACTGAGACAGCTGGAAATTGACGAGGAAACTTCTATTAACCAAATAGAGACCAAGAAACTGGAATTAGAAATACACAAACTGAAACTGAGACAGCTGGAAATTGACGAGGAAACTTCTATTAACCATTCATTGAAGTGATTCGACATACTATTCGTCCAGCTGATAGATAATGGTTTTCTGATACCTTGCAAATCCAGATTTTCCGCTACCATTCTATCTACCAGTGTAACAGTCGAGGCTTCATCAAAAAGTGCATAAGTATGCAATGATTTATGAGCAGAAGATAAAATAACTGGGATGACTCTCAATAAAACTCTGTTTTCTCCAAGGGTTTGTGTTGTTGCATTGAAATTTATTTGTTGATGAGATGAATTTGGTTGATTTCTCGCAGATATGTTAGGGCTCTCTTCATTCCGTTGTCTTGTCCTCCACGTTTGTTCTTCTGCTGCTTCATTTTTTCTTCTCTCCCCTTCTTCCGTCGGACTATTTTCATGAAGTAGATAATGGTGATATTTCCTGCATCCATTTTGGCTGCATTCCTTCTTTTTCTTGCAAAATTGTATTATGTGGTTTGGTCGTAAGCACGAGAAACACACTTTTTTTGATTTAATCCATTCCCATTTTTCTCCAGTAGACATAACCTCGAATTTCTTGCACTTATTTATTGTGTGGTTTGTTAGGTCACAAAATATGCATTTTTGAAATCTTTCAGTTGTTGTAAAGGCCATCTCTCCAGGTCTAGTAGAATATCTTCTTTTTTCAAAATTTAGTTTCGGCCGTGAAACAAGACTTGCCCCATCTGCAACTTTCTCCAACCATAAAGAAAAAGTCTTCAAATCGGTCATATTCCCATTAGAACTTATATAACTTCCCCATTGTAGTTTCAAACTGGCAGGTAATTTCATAAGAAGTTCTTTCAGGATATGAGTATTCATAAGATGAGCTCTATTAGAGTCTAAACTTTCGATGGTGGCAACTAAATTCAAGACATTGTTGGTGAAATCTATTAACAAGTCAAAGTTGTATTCCCTAATATGAGGAACTTGTCTAATGTTTTCTATAATATCTTCTATTATATAATCAGATCTACCAAATCGTTTCTGCAGAATAGATATGACTTTCTCTATTTGTTCAGGAAAATTCAACAAGTATTGAACACTATCTCTTGCTTTCCCTCGCAGTGCTCTCTGTAAACGCGCCATACTTTCTCTATCCGAGTATTTGCAAAGGACGGTAGTTTCGCGAAACTGGCTGATAAAATTTGGCCATTACCATGACGTTTGCTACAAATCCCAACGGATCAAAAATTGACATTGTCAATTTTAGTAGCTCTCTTTTTGTAGGTAAAACTTTTCCTTGTAAAATTTCCGTTTTCAGTCGCTGAATTCTCAAATTGAACATAAATTCGTCATTGTTAGGATCCCAGTGAAGTCCAAGTATTCTTTCATACGGCATTTCTGTCTCCAAATTCAAATTTTTATTTTCACTTGATCGAAGCTCTTCAGGAATTTGCATCATCACTCTCTTTGAATTGCAATTCCAGTTACAGATTGTGAAACCTCCTTTTTTATGAATAGAAATAACTTGTCTGATCAGTTTAATTGCATTTTCTTCACTGTCGGTACTATCTAAATAATCGTCCATATAATGATGTTTCAATATCGCGTTTGAGGCTTCCGGGTATTGTGAGGCAAATTCTTTCCCATTTTCATTCTTGATGAACTGTGCTGAACAAGGAGAACATACTGTTCCAAACAGCATAACAGACATTTGATATTCTTCTACTTCCATGTTAGTTCTATTTCTCCATAAGAATCTCTGGGCTGCATTGTCTTCATTTCTTATTTTAATTTGTAGAAACATTTCCTTAATATCTCCACTGAAAGCTATTTTATTTTGTCTGAATTTCCATATGATTCCGATTAATGAATTGTACATATCAGGGCCTTTGGACAACATATCATTGAGGCAAACATTATGGGATTTGGAGGCAGCATCAAACACAATCCTCATTTTGTTGGGTTTGTTTGGGTTGACAACTGCAAAATGTGGTAAATACCAGGTGTTTTTATTAACAGTGTCGATTTCCAGGCTGGAAAGTTTCCTAGCATATTGTTTGCTGATATAATCTTCCATTTTAGATATATAGGCTTCTTTGAATTTCTCGTCTTTGCTCATTTGTTTTTCCACATAGTTCAGTCTTCTAAGGGCAATTTCTCTACTTTCTGGTAATTTGGCTTCCCTTTTCCATAATAACCCAGTTTCCCATTTGTTTCCGGCTATTCTTCTTGAGGTATTCAGCAAGGTTTCTTCTGCATATAATTCTTCAGATGATTCATGGGGTTGCTCAGGCTTTGTATATACATCTTCAACATTCTCCACCTCAGTAAGATGTAATCTTACAATACTTCATCAACCAGGTCTAGTCGGATGAGTTTGGCAGCAGATCGTTTATAAGTATTCTCCTTGATTTTGACGTCGACGACTCGTATTCTCTCATCTTTCCCAGGATATGTTTTTGTAACCATTCCCATAGGCCATGAATTTCTCGGAGAATGTTCATCGATTTCCAAAACTAAATCACCAATTTTCAATGGTGTGTTTTCTTTCAGCCATTTCTTTCTAGGCATAATTGTGGGCAGGTATTCATGTAACCATCTTTTCCAAAACAAGTTTGTTAAGGTTTGAGCGATTCTCCATTGGCGTCTTATGCAAAAATCTTCTTTTGTAAAATCACCAGGTGTAATCAGTTTTCTTCCAGTGCCAATTAAAATATGATTTGGTGTTAAACATTCCATATCATTTGGATCTATCGATACGTGGGTTAAAGGTCTAGAGTTCACAATATTCTCGACTTCAACCATCAAAGTTCTCAAAACTTCTTCTCTCGGTGATCTTTCTTTCAAAATGGCATAAAAGGCAGTTTTTATGGATCGTATCAAGCGTTCCCAGCAGCCCCCCATATGTGGAGTGAGAGGTGGGATAAAATGCCACCGGATGTTCCTTCTTTCCATGTCTTCTTGCATTTCTCTGTTCTGAATAGTCTCTTCAATAGATTTCAGAGGTGGGATAAAATGCCACCGGATGTTCCTTCTTTCCATGTCTTCTTGCATTTCTCTGTTCTGAATAGTCTCTTCAATAGATTTCCTCAATTCCTTCTCCGCTGCTTTCAAATTCGATCCATTATCAGAGTATATATGTGCTACTTGTCCTCTTCTAGCCATCATCCGACGAATAGCCATGATAGCCGAACTTGTGTCGAGAGAATTTGCTATTTCTATGTGTACAGCTCGAGAAGTTAAACAGGTAAAAATAACACCATACCGTTTTTCTCTTCTTCTACCAACTG